CTAGGGAGCCAAAGCCGGAGGTGAAGAAAGACGAAGCCAAGCCAGTAGAGGCTAAGCCGGAAGTCAAAAAGCAAGAAGCTAAGCCTACCGAGGCGAAACCAGTGGAGGCCAAACCTCCAGTCAAAGAGCCAGAGGCCAAGCTCGTTGAGCCGAAGGCGCCGACTGAGCCAAGCAAGAAGCCCGTAGAAGAACAGGCCAAGCCAGCAGAACAACCTAAGCCACAGCAAGATCAAGCAAAGCCGGCTGAGCAGGCCAAGCCCGACACCAAGAAGCAAGAAGCTAAGCCCGAGGAGACTAAGCCCGTTGAGGTCAAACCTGAAGCCAAGGAACCGGAGGCCAAGCCCGCCGAGGCCAAGCCGGAAGCTAAGCCAAGCAAGAAGCCAGCAGGACAACAGGAAGCTAAGCCACAGCAAGAGCAAACTGTTGTCCTTGATGTTGAAGATGGCGTGGCTAGAGCTACAATGGACATCACCCTCACCAAGCTCCCTTCGAAATCCAACATGGAAGTGATTGTCGAGCTTGATAACCGGGCGGCGCTTGAATTTGGTGAAGCCAAGCCATGCAAGACGACCAAGCCAGAATCCAAGGAAGAAGGAAAGCTCGACAAGAAGTCGCAAAAGGAAGCTGAAGACAAGGCCAAAAAGGAGGCTGCTGAGCTCAAAAAGAAGCAAGAAGCCGAAGCTAAGCAAGCTAAGGAGCAAGCTAAGCTAGATGAGAAGGCGAAGAAAGAAGCCGCTGACAAGGCCAAGAAGGAAGCTGACGACTTGAAGAAAGATCAGGAGGCCGAAGCTAAGCAAGCTAAGGAGCAAGCGAAGCTTGAGGAGAAGGCCAATAAGGACGCTGAAGAGAAAGCTAAAAAAGAAGCTGATGAGCTCAAGAAGAAGCAGGAAGCCGAAGCTAAAGATCAAGCTAATCTTGACGAACAAGTCAATAAGGAAGCCGACACCAAAGCCAAAAAGGAAGCTGAGGAGCTCAAGAAGAAGCAGGAGACCGAAGCTAAGCAAGCTAAGGAGCAGGCTAAGCTAGATGAGAAGGCCAAGCAAGAAGCCGACACCAAAGCCAAAAAGGAAGCTGAGGAGCTCAAGAAGAAGCAAGAAGCTGAAGCCAAGGAGCAAGCGAAGCTAGATGAGAAGGCCAAGAAGGAAGCCGACACCAAAGCCAAAAAGGAAGCTGAGGAGCTCAAGAAGAAGCAAGAAGCTGAAGCCAAGGAGCAAGCGAAGCTAGATGAGAAGGCCAAGAAGGAAGCCGACACCAAAGCCAAAAGGAAGCGAGGAGCCAAGAAGAACAAGAAGCGAAGCCAAGGAGAAGCGAAGCAGAGAGAAGGCCAAGAAAGAAGCCGACACCAAAGCCAAAAAGGAAGCGAGGAGCCAAGAAGAAGCAAGAAGCGAAGCCAAAGAGAAGCGAAGCAAAGAGAAGGCAAGAAAGAAGCCGACACCAAAGCCAAAAAGGAAGCAGAGGAGCTCAAGGACAAGCAAGAAGCTGAAGCCAAGGAGCAAGCGAAGCTAGATGAGAAGGCCAAGAAGGAAGCCGACACCAAAGCCAAAAAGGAAGCTGAGGAGCTCAAGAAGAAGCAAGAAGCCGAAGCCAAGCAAGCTAAAGAGCAAGCTAAGCTAGATGAGAAGGCGACGAAAGAAGCGGCAGACAAGGCCAAGAAGGAAGCTGACGACTTGAAGAAAAATCAGGAGGCCGAAGAAGCAAGCGCTAAGGAGCAAGCGAAGCTAGATGAGAAGGCCAAGAAGGAAGCCGACACCAAAGCCAAAAAGGAAGCAGAGAAGCTCAAGGACAAGCAAGAAGCTGAAGCCAAGGAGCAAGCGAAGCTAGATGAGAAAGCCAAGAAGGATGCTGATGACAAAGCCCGGACAGATGCGGAAGATTTGAAGAAAAAGCAGGAGGTCGAAGCTAAGCAAGCTAAGCAAGTCGAGATCGCCAAGAAAGAAGCTGAAGATAAGGCGAAAAAGGAAGCTGATCGGCTCAAGAAATCACAAGAGGCCGAAGCTAAGGAGCAAGCTAAGCTTGACGAACAAGTCAAGAAGGAAGCCGAAACCAAAGCCAGAAAGGAAGCCGTGGAACTCAAGAAGAAGCAGGAGGCCGAAGCTAAGCAAGCTAAGCTAGACGAAAAGGCCAAGAAGGATGCTAATGACAAAGCCAAGAAAGAAGCGGACGACTTGAAGAAAAAGCAGGAATCCGAAGCCAAGGAGCAAGCTAAGCTCGATGCCAAAGCCAAGAAAGAAACAGAAGAGAAAGCTAAAAAGGAAGCTGGTGACTTGAAAAAGAAGCAAGAAGCCGAAGCTAAAGCCGTTAAGGTCGAAGCTCAGCAGCTTCAAGGCTCCCAAGCGGGCGTCCAAGAAGGAGAGGATCTCTCGGGAGCCGCCAAGTTCGGTAAAAAAGGAAAAGCTGAGGGTGCTGAACTTGCCGAAGACGAGCCAGGAAGCGCGAAGACGTCAGTTGAAGCCAACCTGCAAAAGAAGCCGGCCACCTCAGGTTTGGAGATCGATCTGATGATGGAGAGCATTGAGGAAGTCAACTTGGACCTAAGCATTGAGGAAGTCAACTTGGACATGAAGTTCCAAGGCAAAGGCAAGCAGGAGGAGAAGCAGGCTGAGGCTCCAAAGCCGGAGAAGGTCAAGGAGAAACCAAAAGACGCTGAGGCATCCATTGATGTAACCATCGAGGTACCGCCAGAGACCTCGGGTCTGGAGATCGGGTTCTTGTTCGAAGAGCTTGAATGGGCTGAAGCTGTCATTTCTAAGCAGAAGAAACCGCAGCCTGAAAGTCCAGCTCAGGCTGACAAGAAGGTAAAGCAACAATCCGAAGCCAAGGCAAAGACTGAAGCCAATGCCAAGGCAAAGCAAGAATCCGAAGCCAAGGCAAAGACTGAAGCCGAAGCCAAGGCCAAGCAAGAATCCGAAGCCAAGGCAAAGACTGAAGCCGATGCCAAGGCAAAGCAAGAATCCGAAGCCAAGGCAAAGCAAGAAGCCGAAGCCAAGGCAAAGCAAGAATCCGAAGCCAAGGCAAAGACTGAAGCCGATGCCAAGGCAAAGCAAGAATCCGAAGCCAAGGCAAAGACTGAAGCCAATGCCAAGGCAAAGCAAGAATCCGAAGCCAAGGCAAAGCAAGAATCCGAAGCCAAGGCAAAGACTGAAGCCGAAGCCAAGGCCAAGCAAGAATCCGAAGCCAAGGCAAAGACTGAAGCATATGCCAAAGCAAAGGAAGAATCCGAAGCCAAGGCAAAGACCGAAGCCGATGCCAAGGCAAAGCAAGAATCCGAAGCCAAGGCAAAGACTGAAGCCGAAGCCAAGGCAAAGCAAGAATCCGAAGCCAAGGCAAAGACTAAAGCCGAAGCCAAGGCAAAGTCTGATGCAGAAGAAGCAAAGAAGCAGAAAAAGGTCAAGAAGGAAGCCGACGCCAAGACGGCTGAGACAGAGAAGCCAACCGAACCCACAGCGACCGTTGAAGCCACATTCGAAAATGAGCCCCAAGCGTCCGGTCTGGAGATCGGATTCTTATTCGAGGAGCTTGAATGGGCCGAAGCTGTCGTTTCTAAGCAGAAGAAGGGTCAGCCGGAAAGCTCAGTTCCCGTCGTAGAGCAACCTAAAGAAGCAGAAGTGGCCACGGCTGCACCTGATGTAGCAGAAATCGAGAAAAAATCGGATGAGGCCAAGCCTGTCAAGAAGAATGAAAAGGCGAAAAAGGAGGCCGAAGCCGAGGCTAAACAAGAAGCGGAAGCCAAGGCAAAGGCTGATGCTGAAGAGGCCAAGAAGAAGGAGGCCGACTCCAAGCCCGCCAAGAAGGACGAGAAGCGCAAGCAAGAAGCCGAAGCCGAAGCCAAGCCTACTGCTGAAAAGGCTAAGCAAAAGCAGGAGACCAAGGCAGAAGCCGAGAAAAAGCCATCCGAGCCCACCATCCAAGCCGAATTCCAAAACGAACCCGAGGCTTCGGGTCTCGAGATTGGCTTCATGTTTGAGGAACTGGAATGGGCTGAAGCTCGAATCTCCAGGAAGCCAAAAACAGCCATACCCGCCGAGGACGAGTCAAAGAACACCGAGGAAAAACCGGTTGAGCAGAAAGACAAGTCCAAAGCTGAGGCTCCGAAGGTTGAGGAGGTCAAAGATGCCAAGGATCAGGCCAAGCCTGAAGAGAAGTCGAAGAAGGATGCTGACGATATGGTCAAGAAGCAAGCTGACGAGCTCAAGAATGAGCAGGAGGCCCAGGCTAAGCCAGTTCAGGAGCAAACTAAGCCTGACGAGAAGGCGAACGAAGATGAAAAAGCCAAAAAGGAAGCTGGTGAGCTCCACAAGAAGCCAGAAGATGAAGCCAAGCAGGCTAAGGAGCAAGCAAAGCCAGATGAGAAGGCCAAGAAAGAAGCCGCTGACTTGGGAAAGAAGCAGGAAGCCGCAGCCAAGGCTTCCCAAGAAACGCCAGAGGACAAAGCCAAGAAGCTACCGGAAAAGAAGGATACCAAACCTTCCGAACCCACAGCTACTGTTGATGCTGAATTCGCCAATCCGCCCGAAGTCTCTGGCCTGGAAATCGGCTTCATGTTCGAGGAACTAGAGTGGGAAGACGCTGTCATCCCACGACAACAGAAGCAGAAACCGACCGAACAACCCAAACCGGAACCCAGCAAGACGGAGACCGACCAGAAACCCTCTCCCGAAAAGCCCAAGGGCGTTGAAGAAGCCCTCAAAAAACAGCCACAAGACCTCAAGGGTTCCCAAACCGGTGAACGCCCAGGTGAGGAACTGGAAGGCTCAGCACAGATCCGCAGAAAATCCAAGGCCGAGGGCGCCGAGCCGGAAGCTGATGAAAAGGTAATCAAGAAAAAGCAAAAGGCCGAGAAGCGCAAGCCTGAAGCGCCCGAATCCCAGCAGCAGGAGAAAACCCCTGGCACCACGACCGCCAATCTAGATGTCATCCTGGCCGGTGAACCCCAAGCATCCGGCCTGGAGATTGGATTCATGTTCGAAGAGCTGGAGTGGACTGAAGCGGTCATTTCCAAGCAAAAGAAGTCAGCGCCTGAAAGTTCCGGCCACGCAGAGGAGAAGGCCAAGCAAGAGGCCGAAGCCAAGGCTAAGCAAGAAGCCGAAGCCAAGGCAAAGGTTGATGCTGAAGAGGCCAAGAAGAAGGAGGCCGACTCCAAGATCTCCAAGAAGGAGGAGAAGGCCAAGCAAGAAGCCGAAGCCAAGGCCAAGCAGGAAGCCGAAGCCAAGGCAAAGGCTGATGCTGAAGAGGCCAAGAAGAAGGAGGCCGACTCCAAGATCTCCAAGAAGGAGGAGAAGGCCAAGCAAGAGGCCGAAGCCAAGGCCAAGCAAGAAGCCGAAGCCAAGGCTAAGCAAGAAGCCGAAGCCAAGGCAAAGGTTGATGCTGAGGAGGCCAAGAAGAAGGAGGTCGACTCCAAGACCGCCAAGAAGGAGGAGAAGGCGAAGAAGGAGGCCGAGGAGAAGGCCAAGCTAGAAGCCGAAGCCAAGGCAAAGGCTGATGCTGAAGAGGCCAAGAAGAAGGAGGCCGACTCCAAGATCTCCAAGAAGGAGGAGAAGGCCAAGCAAGAAGCCGAAGCCAAGGCAAAGGCTGATGCTGATGAGGCCAAGAAGAAGGAGGTCGACTCCAAGACCGCCAAGAAGGAGGAGAAGGCCAAGCAAGAAGCCGAAGCCAAGGCCAAGCAAGAAGCCGAAGCCAAGGCTAAGCAGGAAGCCGAAGCCAAGGCTAAGGCTGATGCTGAAGAGGCCAAGAAGAAGGAGGCCGACTCCAACACCACCAAGAAGGAGGAGAAGGCCAAGCAAGAAGCCGAAGCCAAGGCCAAGCAAGAATCCGAAGCCAAGGCTAAGCAAGAAGCCGAAGCCAAGGCAAAGGCTGATGCTGAAGAGGCCAAGAAGAAGGAGGCCGACTCCAAGACCGCCAAGAAGGAGGAGAAGGCCAAGCAAGAAGCCGAAGCCAAGGCCAAGCAAGAAGCCGAAGCCAAGGCTAAGCAGGAAGCCGAAGCCAAGGCTAAGGCTGATGCTGAAGAGGCCAAGAAGAAGGAGGCCGACTCCAACACCACCAAGAAGGAGGAGAAGGCCAAGCAAGAAGCCGAAGCCAAGGCCAAGCAAGAAGCCGAAGCCGGGGTGGCGGGCAGGAGGGTCGCCCACCCCAGGGGGGCCAAGAAGCCGAAGCCAAGGCCAAGCAAGAAGCCGAAGCCAAGGCTAAGCAAGAAGCCGAGGCCAAGGCTAAGGCTGATGCTGAAGAGGCCAAGAAGAAGGAGGTCGACTCCAAGACCGCCAAGAAGGAGGAGAAGGCCAAGCAAGAAGCCGAAGCCAAGGCCAAGCAAGAAGCCGAAGCCAAGGCTAAGCAAGAAGCCGAGGCCAAGGCTAAGGCTGATGCTGATGAGGCCAAGAAGAAGGATGTCGACTCCAAGAGCGCCAAGAAGGAGGATAAGGCCCAGAAGGAGGCCGAGGATAAGGCCAAGAAGGCCGCCCAAGAGCTCAAAGGAGCTCAAAGTGGCGAGCAAGAGGGCGAGAGCATCGAGGGTAAGACAAAGCTCGGCAAGAAGTCGCGTGCCGAGGGAGCTGAATTCGAGCAAGACGAGGCAAAGCCGAAGGAAAAGTCGGTCGTTGCTAATGTTGAAGCTCAACTCCGCGCCAAGGAACCTCACGCAGGTCTGGACATTGACCTGATGATCGAAACCATAGAAGAAGTGAACCTCAACCTGAAGTTGGAGGCGACGAAAAAGAAACAAGTAAAGGAACCGGCCGAAGCGAAGCCCGAAGAACAAAAGGAGGTAGAACCCAAACCTACAAAGAAGGACAAGAAGGCCAAAAAGGAGGCGGAAGCCAAGGCCAAGCAAGAAGCCGAAGCCAAGGCAAAGGCTGATGCTGACGAGGCCAAGAAGAAGGAGGCCGACTCCAAGACCGCCAAGAAGGAGGAGAAGGCCAAGCAAGAAGCCGAAGCCAAGGCCAAGCAAGAAGCCGAAGCCAAGGCTAAGGCTGATGCTGAAGAGGCCAAGAAGAAGGAGGCCGACTCCAAGACCGCCAAGAAAGAGGAGAAGGCCAAGCAAGAAGCCGAAGGCAAGGCTAAGCAAGAGGCCGAAGCCAAGGCAAAGGCTGATGCTGAAGAGGCCAAGAACAAGGAGGCCGACTCCAAGACCGCCAAGAAGGAGGAGAAGGCCAAGCAAGAAGCCGAAGCCAAGGCCAAGCAAGAAGCCGAAGCCAAGGCTAAGCAAGAAGCCGAAGCCAAGGCAAAGGCTGATGCTGAAGAGGCCAAGAAGAAGGAGGTCGACTCCAAGACCGCCAAGAAGGAGGAGAAGGCCAAGCAAGAAGCCGAAGCCAAGGCCAAGCTAGAAGCCGAAGCCAAGGCAAAGGATGATGCTCAAGAGGCCAAGAAGAAGGAGGTCGAATCCAAGACCGCCAAGAAGGAGGAGAAGGCCAAGCAAGAAGCCGAAGCCAAGGCTAAACTAGAAGCCGAAGCCAAGGCAAAGGATGATGCTCAAGAGGCCAAGAAGAAGGAGGTCGACTCCAAGACCGCCAAGAAGGAGGAGAAGGCCAAGCAAGAAGCCGAAGCCAAGGCCAAGCAAGAAGCCGAAGCCAAGGCTAAGCGAAGGCCAAGGAAGAGGCCAAAGCAGGAAGGCCAAAGCCGAAGCCAAGCAAGCAAGATGCTGAAGCTGAAGGCCAAAAGGAAGAAGGAGGTCCGACTTCAAGACCGCCAAGAAGGAGGAGGCCGAAGCCAAGGCCAAGCAAGAAGCCGAAGCCAAGGCCAAGCAAGAAGCCGAAGCCAAGGCCAAGCAAGAAGCCGAAGCCAAGGCAAAGGCTGATGCTGAAGAGGCCAAGAAGAAGGAGGTCGACTCCAAGACCGCCAAGAAGGAGGAGAAGGCCAAGCAAGAAGCCGAAGCCAAGGCCAAGCAAGCCAAGCCGAAGCCAAGGCAAAGGCTGATGCTGAAGAGGCCAAGAAGAAGGCGACTCAAGCGCCAAGAAGGAGGAGAAGGCCAAGCAAGAAGCCGAGGCCAAGCAAGAAGCCGAAGCCAAGGCAAAGGCTGATGCTGAAGAGGCCAAGAAGAAGGAGGTCGACTCCAAGACCGCCAAGAAGGAGGAGAAGGCCAAGCAAGAAGCCGAAGCCAAGGCCAAGCAAGAAGCCGAAGCCAAGGCAAAGGCGATGCTGAAGAGGCCAAGAAAAGAGGTGACCCAAGACCGGCCAAAGGAGGAGAAGGCCAAGCAAGAAGCCGAAGCCAAGGCCAAGCAAGAAGCCGAAGCCAAGGCAAAGGCTGATGCTGAAGAGGCCAAGAAGAAGGAGGCCGACTCCAAGACCGCCAAGAAGGAGGAGAAGGCCAAGCAAGAAGCCGAAGCCAAGGCCAAGCAAGAAGCCGAAGCCAAGGCCAAGCAAGAAGCCGAAGCCAAGGCAAAGGCTGATGCTGAAGAGGCCAAGAAGAAGGAGGTCGACTCCAAGACCGCCAAGAAGGAGGAGAAGGCCAAGCAAGAAGCCGAAGCCAAGGCCAAGCAAGAGGCCGAAGCCAAGGCCAAGCAAGAAGCCGAAGCCAAGGCAAAGGCTGATGCTGAAGAGGCCAAGAAGAAGGAGGCCGACTCCAAGACCGCCAAGAAGGAGGAGAAGGCCAAAGCCGAAGCCAAGGCAAGAAGCCGAAGCCAAGGCAAAGGCTGATGCTGAAGAGGCCAAAAGAAGCCCGCAAGACGCCAAGGGGGCCAAGCAAGAAGCCGAAGCCAAGGCTAAGCAAGAAGCCGAAGCCAAGGCAAAGGCTGATGCTGAAGAGGCCAAGAAGAAGGAGGCCGACTCCAAGACCGCCAAGAAGGAGGAGAAGGCCAAGCAAGAAGCCGAAGCCAAGGCCAAGCAAGAAGCCGAAGCCAAGGCAAAGGCTGATGCTGAAGAGGCCAAGAAGAAGGAGGCCGACTCCAAGACCGCCAAGAAGGAGGAGAAGGCCAAGCAAGAAGCCGAAGCCAAGGCCAAGCAAGGCAAGAAGCCGAAGCCAAGGCTAAGCAAGAAGCCGAAGCCAAGGCAAAGGCTGATGCTGAAGAGGCCAAGAAGAAGGAGGTCGACTCCAAGACCGCCAAGAAGGAGGAGAAGGCCAAGAAGGAGCCGAGGCCAGGGGCCAAGAAGGCCGCCAAGCCAAAGGAGCCAAAGGGAGCAGGAGGGAGAGCTCGAGGGCAAGGCCAAGGCAAGAAGCCGAAGCCAAGGGCCGAACCGCAAGACGAGGCAAAGCCAAGGAAAAGCCGGCCGGCAATGTTGACGCCAGACTCGGCCAAGGAAGGCGGTCCGGACTACTAAGACCGACCAAGAAGAAGCGAACCAACCGAAGCCGGAGCAGGAAAAAGCAAGCCAAGGCGCCGGCCGAAGCGGAGAGCCCGAAGAAGAAGGAGGCCGAACCCAAGACCGCCAAGAAGGATGAGAAGGCCAAGCAGGAAGCCGAAGCCAAGGCCAAGCAAGAAGCCGAAGCCAAGGCAAAGGCTGATGCTGAAGAGGCCAAGAAGAAGGAGGCCGACTCCAAGACCGCCAAGAAGGAGGAGAAGGCCAAGCAAGAAGCCGAAGCCAAGGCTAAGCAAGAAGCCGAAGCCAAGGCAAAGGCTGATGCTGAAGAGGCCAAGAAGAAGGAGGCCGACTCCAAGACCGCCAAGAAGGAGGAGAAGGCCAAGCAAGAAGCCGAAGCCAAGGCCAAGCAAGAAGCCGAAGCCAAGGCAAAGGCTGATGCTGAAGAGGCCAAGAAGAAGGAGGTCGACTCCAAGACCGCCAAGAAGGAGGAAGAAGGCCAAGCAAGAAGCCGAAGCCAAGGCCAAGCAAGAAGCCGAAGCCAAGGCAAAGGCTGATGCTGAAGAGGCCAAGAAGAAGGAGGTCGACTCCAAGACCGCCAAGAAGGAGGAGGCCAGAAGCCGGAGCCAAGCAAGAAGCCGAAGCCAAGGCCAAGCAAGAAGCCGAAGCCAAGGCCAAGCAAGAAGCCGAAGCCAAGGCAAAGGCTGATGCTGAAGAGGCCAAGAAGAAGGAGGTCGACTCCAAGACCGCCAAGAAGGAGGAGAAGGCCAAGCAAGAAGCCGAAGCCAAGGCCAAGCAAGAAGCCGAAGCCAAGGCAAGAAGCGGAAGCCAAGGCAAAGGCTGATGCTGAAGAGGCCAAGAAGAAGGAGGTCGACTCCAAGACCGCCAAGAAGGAGGAGAAGGCCAAGCAAGAAGCCGAAGCCAAGGCAAAGCAAGAAGCCGAAGCCAAGGCAAAGGCTGATCGCTCAAGAGGCCAAAAGAAGGAGGTCGAAGGCTCAAACCGCCAAGAAGGAGAAAGGCCAAGCAAGGAGGACGCAAGGCCAAGCAAGAAGCCGAAGCCAAGGCTAAGCAAGAAGCCGAAGCCAAGGCAAAGGCTGATGCTGAAGAGGCCAAGAAGAAGGAGGCCGACTCCAAGACCGCCAAGAAGGAGGAGAAGGCCAAGCAAGAAGCCGAAGCCAAGGCCAAGCAAGAAGCCGAAGCCAAGGCAAAGGCTGATGCTGAAGAGGCCAAGAAGAAGGAGGCCGACTCCAAGACCGCCAAGAAGGAGGAGAAGGCCAAGCAAGAAGCCGAAGCCAAGGCCAAGCAAGAAGCCGAAGCCAAGGCAAAGGCTGATGCTGAAGAGGCCAAGAAGAAGGAGGTCGACTCGAAGACCTCCAAGAAGGAGGAGAAGGCCAAGCAAGAAGCCGAAGCCAAGGCCAAGCAAGAAGCCGAAGCCAAGGCAAAGGCTGATGCTGAAGAGGCCAAGAAGAAGGAGGCCGACTCCAAGACCGCCAAGAAGGAGGAGAAGGCCAAGCAAGAAGCCGAAGCCAAGGCCAAGCAAGAAGCCGAAGCCAAGGCAAAGGCTGATGCTGAAGAGGCCAAGAAGAAGGAGGCCGACTCCAAGACCTCCAAGAAGGAGGAGAAGGCCAAGCAAGAAGCCGAAGCCAAGGCCAAGCAAGAAGCCGAAGCCAAGGCCAAGCCAGAAGCCGAAGCCAAGGCAAAGGCTGATGCTGAAGAGGCCAAGAAGAAGGAGGCCGACTCCAAGACCGCCAAGAAGGAGGAGAAGGCCAAGCAAGAAGCCGAAGCCAAGGCCAAGCAAGAAGCCGAAGCCAAGGCCAAGCAAGAAGCCGAAGCCAAGGCAAAGGCTGATGCTGAAGAGGCCAAGAAGAAGGAGGTCGACTCCAAGACCGCCAAGAAGGAGGAGAAGGCCAAGCAGAAGAGGCCAAGAAGCCGAAGCCAAAGCAAGAAGCCGAAGCCAAGGCCAAGCAAGAAGCCGAAGCCAAGGCAAAGGCTGATGCTGAAGAGGCCAAGAAGAAGGAGGTCGACTCCAAGACCGCCAAGAAGGAGGAGAAGGCCAAGCAAGCAAGGAAGCCGAAGCCAAGGCCAAGCAAGAAGCCGAAGCCAAGGCAAAGGCTGATGCTGAAGAGGCCAAGAAGAAGGAGGCCGACTCCAAGACCGCCAAGAAGGAGGAGAAGGCCAAGCAAGAAGCCGAAGCCAAGGCCAAGCAAGAAGCCGAAGCCAAGGCCAACAAAAGCCGAAGCCAAGGCAAAGGCTGATGCTGAAGAGGCCAAGAAGAAGGATGTCGACTCCAAGACCTCCAAGAAGGAGGAGAAGGCCCAGAAGGAGGCCGAGGATAAGGCCAAGAAGGCCGCCCAAGAGCTCAAAGGAGCTCAAAGTGGCGAGCAGGAGGGCGAGAGCATCGAGGGTAAGACAAAGCTCGGCAAGAAGTCGCGTGCCGAGGGAGCCGAATCGAGCAAGACGAGGCAAAGCCGAAGGAAAAGTCGGTCGTTGCTAATGTTGAAGCTCAACTCCGCGCCAAGGAACCCAGCCAGGTCTGGACATTGACCTGATGCTCGAAGACCATAGAAGAAGTGAACCTCAACCTGAAGTTGGAGGCGACGAAAAAGAACCAAGTAAAGGAACCGGCCGAAGCGAAGCCCGAAGAAGAAAGGAGGTAGGGCCCAAGCCGACCAAGAAGGACAAAAAGGCCAAAAGGAGGCGAAGCCAAGGCCAAGCAAGAAGCCGAAGCCAAGGCTAAGCAAGAAGCCGAAGCCAAGGCAAAGGCTGATGCTGAAGAGGCCAAGAAGAAGGAGGCCGACTCCAAGACCGCCAAGAAGGAGGAGAAGGCCAAGCAAGAAGCCGAAGCAGGCAAGGAAGCCGAAGCCAAGGCAAGAAGCCGAAGCCAAGGCTAAGCAAGAAGCCGAAGCCAAGGCAAAGGCTGATGCTGAAGAGGCCAAGAAGAAGGAGGTCGACTCCAAGACCGCCAAGAAGGAGGAGAAGGCCAAGCAAGAAGCCGAAGCCAAGGCCAGCAAGCCGAAGCCAAGGCCAAGCAAGAAGCCGAAGCCAAGGCAAAGGCTGATGCTGAAGAGGCCAAGAAGAAGGAGGCCGACTCCAAGACCGCCAAGAAGGAGGAGAAGGCCAAGCAAGAAGCCGAAGCCAAGGCTAAGCAAGAAGCCGAAGCCAAGGCAAAGGCTGATGCTGAAGAGGCCAAGAAGAAGGAGGCCGACTCCAAGACCGCCAAGAAGGAGGAGAAGGCCAAGCAAGAAGCCGAAGCCAAGGCCAAGCGAAGCCGAAGCCAAGGCAAAGGCTGATGCTGAAGAGGCCAAGAAGAAGGAGGCCGACTCCAAGACCGCCAAGAGGAGGAGAAGGCCAAGCAAGAAGCCGAAGCCAAGGCCAAGCAAGAAGCCGAAGCCAAGGCAAAGGCTGATGCTGAAGAGGCCAAGAAGAAGGAGGCCGACTCCAAGACCGCCAAGAAGGAGGAGAAGGCCAAGCAAGAAGCCGAAGCCAAGGCCAAGCAAGAAGCCGAAGCCAAGGCCAAGCAAGAAGCCGAAGCCAAGGCAAAGGCTGATGCTGAAGAGGCCAAGAAGAAGGAGGTCGACTCCAAGACCGCCAAGAAGGAGGAGAAGGCCAAGCAAGAAGCCGAAGCCAAGGCCAAGCAAGAAGCCGAAGCCAAGGCAAAGGCTGATGCTGAAGAGGCCAAGAAGAAGGAGGTCGACTCCAAGACCGCCAAGAAGGAGGAGAAGGCCAAGCAAGAAGCCGAAGCCAAGGCCAAGCAAGAAGCCGAAGCCAAGGCCAAGCAAGAAGCCGAAGCCAAGGCAAAGGCTGATGCTGAAGAGGCCAAGAAGAAGGAGGCCGACTCCAAGACCGCCAAGAAGGAGGAGAAGGCCAAGCAAGAAGCCGAAGCCAAGGCCAAGCAAGAAGCCGAAGCCAAGGCAAAGGCTGATGCTGAAGAGGCCAAGAAGAAGGGAGGCCGACTCCAAGACCGCCAAGAAGGAGGAGAAGGCCAAGCAAGAAGCCGAAGCCAAGGCCAAGCAAGAAGCCGAAGCCAAGGCAAAGGCTGATGCTGAAGAGGCCAAGAAGAAGGAGGTCGACTCCAAGACCGCCAAGAAGGAGGAGAAGGCCCAGAAGGAGGCCGAGGAGAAGGCCAAGAAGGCCGCCCAAGAGCTCAAAGGAGCTCAAAGTGGCGAGCAGGAGGGCGAGAGCATCGAGGGTAAGACAAAGCTCGGCAAGAAGTCGCGTGCCGAGGGAGCTGAATTCGAGCAAGACGAGGCAAAGCCGAAGGAAAAGTCGGTCGTCGCTAATGTTGACGCTCAACCGCGCCAAGGAACCTCACGCCGGTCTGGACATTGACCTGATGATCGAAACCATAGAAGAAGTGAACCTCAACCTGAAGTTGGAGGCGACGAAAAAGAAACAAGTAAAGGAACCGGTCGAAGCGAAGCCCGAAGAACAAAAGGAGGTAGAACCCAAGCCGACCAAGAAGGATGAAAAGACCAAAAAGGAGCCGAAGCCAAGGCCAAGCAAGAAGCCGAAGCCAAGGCTAAGCAAGAAGCCGAAGCCAAGGCAAAGGCTGATGCTGAAGAGGCCAAGAAGAAGGAGGCCGACTCCAAGATCTCCAAGAAGGAGGAGAAGGCCAAGCAAGAAGCCGAAGCCAAGGCCAAGCAAGAAGCCGAAGCCAAGGCCAAGGCTGAAGCTGAAAGGCCAAGAAGAAGGGGCCGACTCAAGACGCCAAGAAGGCCGCGAAGCCGGCAAGGCCAAGCAAGAAGCCGAAGCCAAGGCAAAGGCTGATGCTGAAGAGGCCAAGAAGAAGGAGGCCGACTCCAAGATCTCCAAGAAGGAGGAGAAGGCCAAGCAAGAAGCCGAAGCCAAGGCCAAGCAAGAAGCCGAAGCCAAGGCAAAGGCTGATGCTGAAGAGGCCAAGAAGAAGGAGGCCGACTCCAAGATCTCCAAGAAGGAGGAGAAGGCCAAGCAAGAAGCCGAAGCCAAGGCTAAGCAAGAAGCCGAAGCCAAGGCCAAGCAAGAAGCCGAAGCCAAGGCAAAGGCTGATGCTGAAGAGGCCAAGAAGAAGGAGGCCGACTCCAAGACCTCCAAGAAGGAGGAGAAGGCCAAGCAAAAGCCGAAGCCAAGGCCAAGCAAGAAGCCGAAGCCAAGGCCAAGCAAGAAGCCGAAGCCAAGGCAAAGGCTGATGCTGAAGAGGCCAAGAAGAAGGAGGCCGACTCCAAGACCGCCAAGAAGGAGGAGAAGGCCAAGCAAGAAGCCGAAGCCAAGGCCAAGCAAGAAGCCGAAGCCAAGGCAAAGGCTGATGCTGAAGAGGCCAAGAAGAAGGAGGCCGACTCCAAGATCTCCAAGAAGGAGGAGAAGGCCAAGCAAGAAGCCGAAGCCAAGGCCAAGCAAGAAGCCGAAGCCAAGGCAAAGGCTGATGCTGAAGAGGCCAAGAAGAAGGAGGCCGACCCAAGACCGCCAAGAAGGAGGAGAAGGCCAAGCAAGAAGCCGAAGCCAAGGCCAAGCAAGAAGCCGAAGCCAAGGCAAAGGCTGATGCTGAAGAGGCCAAGAAGAAGGAGGTCGACTCCAAGACCGCCAAGAAGGAGGAGAAGGCCAAGCAAGAAGCCGAAGCCAAGGCCAAGCAAGAAGCCGAAGCCAAGGCAAAGGCTGATGCTGAAGAGGCCAAGAAGAAGGAGGTCGATTCAAGACCGCCAAGAAGGAGGACAAGGCCCAGAAGGAGGCCGAGGAGAAGGCCAAGAAGGCCGCCCAAGAGCTCAAAGGAGCTCAAAGTGGCGAGCAGGAGGGCGAGAGCATCGAGGGTAAGACAAAGCTCGGCAAGAAGTCGCGTGCCGAGGGAGCTGAATTCGAGCAAGACGAGGCAAAGCCGAAGGAAAAGTCGGTCGTCGCTAATGTTGACGCTCAACTCCGCGCCAAGGAACCTCACGCCGGTCTGGACATTGACCTGATGATCGAAACCATAGAAGAAGTGAACCTCAACCTGAAGTTGGAGGCGACGAAAAAGAAACAAGTAAAGGAACCGGTCGAAGCGAAGCCCGAAGAAGAAAAGGAGGTAGGACCCAAGCCGACCAAGAAGGATGAAAAGACCAAAAAGGAGGCGGAAGCCAAGGCCAAGCAAGAAGCCGAAGCCAAGGCTAAGCAAGAAGCCGAAGCCAAGGCAAAGGCTGATGCTGAAGAGGCCAAGAAGAAGGAGGCCGACTCCAAGATCTCCAAGAAGGAGGAGAAGGCCAAGAAGCCGAAGCCAAGGAAGCCGAAGCCAAGGCTCAAGAAGCCGAAGCCAAGGCAAAGGCTGATGCTGAAGAGGCCAAGAAGAAGGAGGCCGACTCCAAGACCGCCAAGAAGGAGGAGAAGGCCAAGCAAGAAGCCGAAGCCAAGGCCAAGCAGGAAGCCGAAGCCAAGGCAAAGGCTGATGCTGAAGAGGCCAAGAAGAAGGAGGCCGACTCCAAGATCTCCAAGAAGGAGGAGAAGGCCAAGCAAGAAGCCGAAGCCAAGGCCAAGCAAGAAGCCGAAGCCAAGGCAAAGGCTGATGCTGAAGAGGCCAAGAAGAAGGAGGCCGACTCCAAGACCGCCAAGAAGGAGGAGAAGGCCAAGCAAGAAGCCGAAGCCAAGGCCAAGCAAGAAGCCGAAGCCAAGGCAAAGGCTGATGCTGAAGAGGCCAAGAAGAAGGAGGCCGACTCCAAGATCTCCAAGAAGGAGGAGAAGGCCAAGCAAGAAGCCGAAGCCAAGGCCAAGCAAGAAGCCGAAGCCAAGGCAAAGGCTGATGCTGAAGAGGCCAAGAAGAAGGAGGCCGACCCCAAGATCGCCAAGAAGGAGGAGAAGGCCAAGAAGCGCCAAGGCTAAGCAAGAAGCCGAAGCCAAGGCCAAGCAAGAAGCCGAAGCCAAGGCAAAGGCTGATGCTGAAGAGGCCAAGAAGAAGGAGGCCGACCCAAGACCGCCAAGAAGGAGGAGAAGGCCAAGCAAGAAGCCGCAGGGGCACAGAAGCCGAGCCAAGGCAAAGGCTGATGCTGAAGAGGCCAAGAAGAAGGAGGCCGACCAAGACCGCCAAGAAGGAGGAGAAGGCCAAGCAAGAAGCCGAAGCCAAGGCCAAGCAAGAAGCCGAAGCCAAGGCAAAGGCTGATGCTGAAGAGGCCAAGAAGAAGGAGGCCGACTCCAAGACCGCCAAGAAGGAGGAGAAGGCCAAGCAAGAAGCCGAAGCCAAGGCAAGCAAGAAGCCGAAGCCAAGGCGAAGCCGAAGCCAAGGCAAAGGCTGATGCTGAAGAGGCCAAGAAGAAGGAGGCCGACTCCAAGATCTCCAAGAAGGAGGAGAAGGTGAGCCGAAGCCCAGGAAGAAGCCGAAGCCAAGGCCAAGCAAGAAGCCGAAGCCAAGGCAAAGGCTGATGCTGAAGAGGCCAAGAAGAAGGAGGCCGACTCCAAGACCGCCAAGAAGGAGGAGAAGGCTAAGAAGAAGCCGAAGCCAAGGCTAAGCAAGAAGCCGAAGCCAAGGCAAAGGCTGATGCTGAAGAGGCCAAGAAGAAGGAGGCCGACTCCAAGACCCCAAGAAGGAGGAGAAGGCCAAGCAAGAAGCCGAAGCCAAGGCCAAGCAAGAAGCCGAAGCCAAGGCAAAGGCTGATGCTGAAGAGGCCAAGAAGAAGGAGGCCGACTCCAAGACCGCCAAGAAGGAGGAGAAGGCCAAGCAAGAAGCCGAAGCCAAGGCTAAGCAAGAAGCCGAAGCCAAGGCAAAGGCTGATGCTGAAGAGGCCAAGAAGAAGGAGGCCGACTCCAAGACCGCCAAGAAGGAGGAGAAGGCCAAGCAAGAAGCCGAAGCCAAGGCCAAGCAGGAAGCCGAAGCCAAGGCAAAGGCCGATGCTGAAGAGGCCAAAGAAAGGCCGACTCCAAGATCGCCAAGAAGGAGGAGAAGGCCAAGCAAGCCGAAGCCAAGGCCAAGCAAGAAGCCGAAGCCAAGGCCAAGCAGGAAGCCGAAGCCAAGGCAAAGGCTGATGCTGAAGAGGCCAAGAAGAAGGAGGCCGACTCCAAGACCGCCAAGAAGGAGGAGAAGGCCAAGCAAGAAGCCGAAGCCAAGGCTAAGCAAGAAGCCGAAGCCAAGGCAAAGGCTGATGCTGAAGAGGCCAAGAAGAAGGAGGCCGACTCCAAGATCTCCAAGAAGGAGGAGAAGGCCAAGCAAGAAGCCGAAGCCAAGGCTAAGCAAGAAGCCGAAGCCAAGGCAAAGGCTGATGCTGAAGAGGCCAAGAAGAAGGAGGCCGACCCAAGATCTCCAAGAAGGAGGAGAAGGCCAAGAAGAAGCCGAAGCCAAGGCTAAAGAAGCCGAAGCCGAAGCGTGGGAAGCCAAGGCAAAGGCTGATGCTAAGAGGCCAGAAAAGGAGGCCGACTCCAAGATCTCCAAGAAGGAGGAGAAGGCCAAGCAAGAAGCCGAAGCCAAGGCCAAGCAAGAAGCCGAAGCCAAGGCCAAGCAGGAAGCCGAAGCCAAGGCAAAGGCTGATGCCGAAGAGGCCAAGAAGAAGGAGGCCGACTCCAAGATCTCCAAGAAGGAGGAGAAGGCCAAGCAAGAAGCCGAAGCCAAGGCCAAGCAAAAGAAGGAAGCCGAAGCCAAGGCAAAGGCTGATGCTGAAGAGGCCAAGAAGAAGGAGGCCGACTCCAAGATCTCCAAGAAGGAGGAGAAGGCCAAGCGCAAGCAAGAAGCCGAAGCCAAGGCCAAGCAGAGAAGCCGAAGCCAAGGCAAAGGCTGATGCTGAAGAGGCCAAGAAGAAGGAGGCCGACTCCAAGATCGCCAAGAAGGAGGAGAAGGCCAAGCAAGAAGCCGAAGCCAAGGCCAAGCAAGAAGCCGAAGCCAAGGCAAAGGCTGATGCTGAAGAGGCCAAGAAGAAGGAGGCCGACTCCAAGATCTCCAAGAAGGAGGAGAAGGCCAAGCAAGAAGCCGAAGCCAAGGCCAAGCAAGAAGCCGAAGCCAAGGCAAAGGCTGATGCTGAAGAGGCCAAGAAGAAGGAGGCCGACTCAAGATCTCCAAGAAGGAGGAGAAGGCCAAGCAAGAAGCCGAAGCCAAGGCCAAGCAAGAAGCCGAAGCCAAGGCCAAGCAGGAAGCCGAAGCCAAGGCAAAGGCTGATGCTGAAGAGGCCAAGAAGAAGGAGGCCGACTCCAAGACCTCCAAGAAGGAGGAGAAGGCCAAGCAAGAAGCCGAAGCCAAGGCCAAGCAGGAAGCCGAAGCCAAGGCAAAGGCTGATGCTGAAGAGGCCAAGAAGAAGGAGGCCGACTCCAAGACCTCCAAGAAGGAGGAGAAGGCCAAGCAAGAAGCCGAAGCCAAGGCCAAGCAAGAAGCGGAAGCCAAAGAAAAAGCCGAAGCCAAGGCAAAGGCTGAGCTGAAGAGGCCAAGAAGAGGAGGCCGACTCCAAGACCGCCAAGAAGGAGGAGAAGGCCAAGCAAGAAGCCGAAGCCAAGGCCAAGCAAGAAGCTGAAGCCAAGGCCAAGCAAGAAGCCGAAGCCAAGGCAAAGGCTGATGCTGAAGAGGCCAAGAAGAAGGAGGCCGACTCCAAGACCTGCCAAGAAGGAGGAGAAGGCCAAGAGAAGCCGAAGCCAAGGCTAGCAAGAAGCCGAAGCCAAGGCCAAGCGAAGCCGAAGCCAAGGCAAAGGCTGATGCTGAAGAGGCCAAGAAGAAGGAGGCCGACTCCAAGATCTCCAAGAAGGAGGAGAAGGCCAAGCAAGAAGCCGAAGCCAAGGCTAAGCAAGAAGCCGAAGCCAAGGCAAAGGCTGATGCTGAAGAGGCCAAGAAGAAGGAGGCCGACTCCAAGACCTCCAAGAAGGAGGAGAAGGCCAAGCAAGAAGCCGAAGCCAAGGCTAAGCAAGAAGCCGAAGCCAAGGCCAAGCAGAAGCCGAAGCCAAGGCAAAGGCTGATGCTGAAGAGGCCAAGAAGAAGGAGGCCGACTCCAAGACCGCCAAGAAGGAGGAGAAGGCCAAGCAAGAAGCCGAAGCCAAGGCCAAGCAAGAAGCCGAAGCCAAGGCAAAGGCTGATGCTGAAGAGGCCAAGAAGAAGGAGGTCGACTCCAAGATCGCCAAGAAGGAGGAGAAGGCCAAGCAAGAAGCCGAAGCCAAGGCCAAGCAAGAGGCCGAAGCCAAGGCAAAGGCTGATGCTGAAGAGGCCAAGAAGAAGGAGGCCGACTCAAGATCTCCAAGAAGGAGGAGAAGGCCAAGCAAGAAGCCGAAGCCAAGGCCAAGCAAGAGGCCGAAGCCAAGGCAAAGGCTGATGCTGAAGAGGCCAAGAAGAAGGAGGCCGACTCCAAGACCGCCAAGAAGGAGGAGAAGGCCAAGCAAGAAGCCGAAGCCAAGGCCAAGCAAGAAGCCGAAGCCAAGGCCTAGAAGCCGAAGCCAAGGCAGATGCTGAAGAGGCCAAGAAGAAGGAGGCCGACTCCAAGTCCGCCAAGAAGGAGGAGAAGGTCAAGAAGGCGAAGGACGTCGAAGGTGTAAAGGACCTGCGGGTTAAATTGAGGCCAGTTTCAGAGAAAGGAGCAATCCATGCATGTGGATGCTTTCCTTCCACATCGAGACCGTTGAGGTGGGCTTGGTTGACTACCGTGCAGCCAATGTCCACGACACGTCGGCGTTCGTCGGTGAAGCAGGAGGAGCGACAATTGTGGTAAATGCTGAACTAGCCGGCAAGACGAGGGACGAAAAACTGAGAAATGTCTACGTGGCGTTGGGAAAGATTCGGCTAGTTTGAAAACCAAGGCACCATCATTCGTTGAATGCTTCTGCACGGCCAGCTTTACCACAGCGCACTGAGCGCATCGGAGTTGGATTTGTTTTTGGAAGAGGGACCGGTAAGTGCGGGGCTTGTGGTTTTGATCTTGGGTAGCATTTTAGCGGTGCTTGAACAGGAAACAACGAATTAAAAACGTTATTTAGGAACCGAGTGAGGAGTTGCCTTCCGAAAGCGAGTATCTCGATCTGCTCTCCCCCGTTCTCAACATCAAATCGCCGTTGGGAGAGGAGGTGATGTTCCCCGAGGAGCCAGCCGAGAGGAAGAAGAAGGAAAAGAAGAAGGGAAAAGATCAGCAGAAGGAAGAGAAGACTGAGGGGCTCTTAGGAGGTCAATGTGTCGAGGCAACGTACAAGTTCCGGTGAGTTTGGATATCCTTTGGATTCCAAATAAACGAGGGGCAACCAAAAATGAAAAACCTTTTAGGGACGAGCGACCTCATGGTGGAACTCGACATTTCCGCCGGAGAAGAGCAGGCAAAAACCGATGCGGTTGTCGACATAGAACTTCTTCGATTTCCGAGGGAGACTGAGATCAGCCTACACGAGCCGACACCGGTGGAGAATCTGCTCGAGGTCGACGTGATGCTGGAGTCGCTGCAAGAAGAGGAGGAGATTGATGCGATCGCGCCAGCCAAAGCCATGCAGGTAGGGAAACAAGGAAAAACAGGCAGAAAATACACAAAAATTAATGAACACGGATATTAAGGCGAATAGTAAAAAAGTAATTTCGTGAAAAAAGGGATTAGACGTAACAGTTGCCCAAAACACACTAATGTCGGTTCTAGGCATGGTGTGTAAAGCGTTAAAATCCGCTGGGGTCTCTGTTCCTCCCAAGCCTTCAATAGGCCAACGGTGTGGGCGCTTTAATGAGCACGATTCGAAATCCTGGCCGCCCACGGAATCCAGGCGAAACTAAAAGGGGCATGGCTAGCCCGGATTCAGGTCGCCCGAAAAGTCAGGCAGACAACCCGTATTTAACGCCCTTTCGCGCCCTTCGCGCCCTCCTGTAAATAAAGCACCTGTATTCCCGCGCCCCTGTATTTAACGCTCTCTGTAAATAACGCCCTGCAAAACGGGCTTTTCTGTAAATAACGCCCTTTTCGTATTGGTCATTTGGAGGCGTTAAATACGAGGGCGTATTGAGGCTCGCTCAGAAGGCGCGAAGCGTGAAGGGCGTTAAATACAGGTTGCCAGTCGGCCGGCGGATTTCGGATCGGGCAACCCAAACTTGCGTAATGAACCAAATCCGCAGAGCTGGTTCTCCCCCAGATTGTATCGGGAAAGCACGCGGTATCTTCGAGCAGTGGACCAGGTCGACGTCTTTTGCCGACTTCGGCCGACTTTTTGTCTTTTCTTTTGCCTGGTACGGTTTTGCCTCACCACCAGCACGAAAATGCGCGCTTACCTGGTATTATATATAAACCGAATTTTTTGTAAAAATCAGCTCATAAATATTTTGTACCAAAGCCGAATAACCCTTTAACTAAAAAATTGGTTACTTCCTTTGCTAAAATAGCCGGTTCTCGAATTTCCACTGAAAGATGGGGAAAGTTTCGCCGAAATAGCTCGTTAGTCAATGATTCGCCCAAAAATGCGCGATTTTACAAGATTAAGCCATTACGAGCTTTTGCTATCCAAAACAATAAAGGGAAGCACTAATAGAAACGTTTTACAAAAAAAGATACAAGGTTTGCAAGTCGTTTCAATGTTAGGCGGCTCAAAAACTTACGAAACGCATCAGCTTTTGATGGCTGAAATGCTAGAGCTTATAAATATACTTTGAAGGAAAAACGTAAGAAAAAAAGCCAAAACGGGGTTAGAAAGGACTTTGTTGCAAGGGCGAAATCGAGGCATTGTTGGAGGAAGCGCGGCGGCCCCGCCCCTTTCGCGGTTGGGGAAAGGCCTAGCCCCGCCCCCTTCCGAGCCCCCCCCAACACCGCGCTGCGCTTCTAAAAGTCTGATTTCAGGCGCATTTCATTGATTTTTCTCAAAATAAAAAGTGATACTATGATAGCTTAGACCTAGCCGAACATTTTGTTGTATTTTCCGAAGCAAACGGGCTAATATTCGCATAGATTTAGCTCGATAACGTGCTTGAAGGCCATAATTTTACAATAAAGAACAGTTGAGTCTATATTTTAAACCAGCGGAAAATTGGACCAACAATTTACGAGCTAACAAATGACAAGCTATTTTTAGGCCGTCGAACAGACGATACAACGCAAATACGGGGACGCGAAGCTGTCGAAGAACTTGACGAGCAGCGTATGCCCCAAAGAGCCGAGGCCGAAATCGTCGTCACTGAGAAGAGCGTGGTTACCGCGAAGACGCGCAAGACCATGTTCCGCGAACTTCCTGAGGACGTGCAAGCCGATGAGGACGGTGGTAAGTCTTTTCTAGGACAATTTGATTTACCTTTTCGCCCTAGAAGTAGTATATTCAATTACTATGTTTTCCAGAAAAACCTCGTCAAGTCATCCTGCAACACCCGGAACCCCTTTCCATTGACGTTGTCAGTCAAGTAAGAAAGCTCACCGTCGTCGCCAAGCATCCGATCGAAGAGGCCGTTGGGTACCGCAACGACCTCGTCGTGCCCGAGTCCGACTTTGTGGAGCAGACGGACGGCCCGGAACACGTCGAGCCTGATCCGAAGCGCGATTCACTGGCAGCTTGGTGGGCGGGTACCATTGCGTGGTGGATGGTGTCGCATCTGAAAAAATGCCAAGCTCACTGCCGCAATCGCTCCGGAGATCACCAGCGATATCTCTGGAAAAACCGTCATCTGCTTGGCGAACAAACCTTTTAATTCCAAATCGACTTCGCCGCGTATCCAGCCCCGACGCTGAAGATTCAGCACGAGTCCGGTGCGGATATGATGTACGACGCGACGATGTGATGATGACTACGTGTCGTTCCGGTTCCGTAACCTCAGGACCCCGGAACTCCGGGCAGATCACGATCACGCTGGAGAACAGCGTCGGGAAGCAGGAGGTCAAGCTGCGTATGAAAGTTATCGATACGCCGCTGGCCCCGCAGAACCTGGTCGCTAGTGATGTCACCGATCGCAGCGTCAGCTGACCTGGGAGCCCCCCTGAGGGTAGCCTGGAGTTTGTCGATAACTTCATCGTGCAAAGGAAAGCCGGACATCTCAAGGTGGCGAAATATCGCTGGCTTGTCGGCAAAGACCTTCGAGTACCAGAACACTGAGTTGCTGGCAAATGAGATGTATTCGTTCCGGATTGTTGGTGAAAACAGTACGGGAGAGGGATCGCCCAGCAACAAGGTCAGCACATCGTTACTCTGGAGGAAATCAGCGATGAAGAGTCTCAGGCCGAGGGCAGCCCGGTGGAGCCTACGGAAGCCGACCAGGATGTGCCTGAGACGGTTGAGAGGTTAATAAACCGAACTGAGGAGGCTAAGCTTCAAAAGACCAAGAAAAGGTGAAGAGCCGCTGAGGACCCGAAAGAGGAAGTTAAGGAAGATGTTAGCAGTAAAGGGGGAGCCAGAGGTCAAGAAAGACAAATAGAAGCCGAAGCCAAGGCAAAGGCTGATGCTGAAGAGGCCAAGAAGAAGGAGGTCGACTCCAAGACCGCCAAGAAGGAGGAGAAGGCCAAGCAAGAAGCCGAAGCCAAGGCTAAGCAAGAAGCGGAAGCCAAGGCAAAGGCTGATGCTGAAGAGGCCAAGAAGAAGGAGGTCGACTCCAAGACCGCCAAGAAGGAGGAGAAGGCCAAGCAAGAAGCCGAAGCCAAGGCTAAGCTAGAAGCCGAAGCCAAGGCAAAGCTAGAAGCCGAAGCCAAGGCAAAGGCTGATCCTGAAGAGGCCAAGAAGAAGGAGGTCGACTCCAAGACCGCCAAGAAGGAGGAGAAGGCCAAGCAAGAAGCGGAAGCCAAAGCCAAGCTAGAAGCCGAAGCCAAGGCAAAGGCTGATGCTGAAGAGGCCAAGAAGAAGGAGGCCGACTCCAAGACCGCCAAGAAGGAGGAGGAGACGGCCAAGCAAGAAGCCGAAGCCAAGGCTAAGCTAGAAGCCGAAGCCAAGGCAAAGGCTGATGCTGAAGAGGCCAAGAAGAAGGAGGCGGGCTCCAAGACCGCCAAGAAAGAGGAGAAGGCCCAGAAGGAGGCCGAGGATAAGACCAAGAAGGCCGCCCAAGAGCTCAAAGGAGCTCAAAGTGGCGAGCAAGAGGGCGAGAGCATCGAGGGTAAGACAAAGCTCGGCAAGAAGTCGCGTGCCGAGGGAGCTGAATTCGAGCAAGACGAGGCAAAGCCGAAGGAAAAGTCGGTCGTTGCTAATGTTGAAGCTCAACTCCGCGCCAAGGAACCTCACGCAGGTCTGGACATTGACCTGATGATCGAAACCATAGAAGAAGTGAACCTCAACCTGAAGTTGGAGGCGACGAAAAAGAAACAAGTAAAGGAACCGGCCGAAGCGAAGCCCGAAGAACAAAAGGAGGTAGAACCCAAACCTACAAAGAAGGACAAGAAGGCCCAGCAAGAAGCCGAAGCCAAGGCCAAGCAAGAAGCCGAAGCCAAGGCTAAGCAAGAAGCCGAAGCCAAAGCCAAGCTAGAAGCCGAAGCCAAGGCAAAGGCTGATGCTGAGGAGGCCAAGAAGAAGGAGGCCGACTCCAAGACCGCCAAGAAGGAGGAGAAGGCCAAGCAAGAAGCCGAAGCCAAGGCTAAGCAAGAGGCCGAAGCCAAGGCAAAGGCTGATGCTGAAGAGGCCAAGAAGAAGGAGGTCGACTCCAAGACGGCCAAGAAGGAGGAGAAGGCCAAGCAAGAAGCCGAAGCCAAGGCTAAGCAAGAACCGGAAGCCAAAGCCAAGCTAGAAGCCGAAGCCAAGGCAAAGGCTGATGCTGAGGAGGCCAAGAAGAAGGAGGCCGACTCCAAGACCGCCAAGAAGGAGGAGAAGGCCAAGCAAGAAGCCGAAGCCAAGGCTAAGCAAGAGGCCGAAGCCAAGGCAAAGGCTGATGCTGAAGAGGCCAAGAAGAAGGAGGTCGACTCCAAGACGGCCAAGAAGGAGGAGAAGGCCAAGCAAGAAGCCGAAGCCAAGGCTAAGCAAGAAGCGGAAGCCAAGGCAAAGGCTGATGCTGCAGAGGCCAAGAAGAAGGAGGTCGACTCCAAGATCTCCAAGAAGGAGGAGAAGGCCAAGCAAGAAGCCGAAGCCAAGGCCAAGCAAGAAGCCGAAGCCAAGGCCAAGCTAGAAGCCGAAGCCAAGGCAAAGGCTGATCCTGAAGAGGCCAAGAAGAAGGAGGTCGACTCCAAGACCGCCAAGAAGGAGGAGAAGGCCAAGGAAGAAGCGGAAGCCAAAGCCAAGCTAGAAGCCGAAGCCAAGGCAAAGGCTGATGCTGAAGAGGCCAAGAAGAAGGAGGTCGACTCCAAGACCGCCAAGAAGGAGGAGAAGGCCAAGCAAGAAGCCGAAGCCAAGGCTAAGCAAGAAGCCGAAGCCAAGGCAAAGGCTGATGCTGAAGAGGCCAAGAAGAAGGAGGTCGACCTCAAGACCGCCAAGAAGGAGGAGAAGGCCAGGCAAGAAGCCGAAGCCAAGGCTAAGCTAGAAGCCGAAGCCAAGGCAAAGGCTGATCCTGAAGAGGCCAAGAAGAAGGAGGTCGACTCCAAGACCGCCAAGAAGGAGGAGAAGGCCAAGCAAGAAGCCGAAGCCAAGGCTAAGCTAGAAGCCGAAGCCAAGGCAAAGGCTGATGCTGAAGAGGCCAAGAAGAAGGAGGCCGACTCCAAGACCGCCAAGAAGGAGGAGGAGACGGCCAAGCAAGAAGCCGAAGCCAAGGCTAAGCAAGAGGCCGAAGCCAAGGCAAAGGCTGATGCTGAAGAGGCCAAGAAGAAGGAGGTCGACTCCAAGACCGCCAAGAAGGAGGAGAAGGCCAAGCAAGAAGCCGAAGCCAAGGCTAAGCAAGAGGCCGAAGCCAAGGCAAAGGCTGATGCTGAAGAGGCCAAGAAGAAGGAGGCGGGCTCCAAGACCGCCAAGAAGGAGGAGAAGGCCCAGAAGGAGGCCGAGGATAAGACCAAGAAGGCCGCCCAAGAGCTCAAAGGAGCTCAAAGTGGCGAGCAAGAGGGCGAGAGCATCGAGGGTAAGACAAAGCTCGGCAAGAAGTCGCGTGTCGAGGGAGCTGAATTCGAGCAAGACGAGGCAAAGCCGAAGGAAAAGTCGGTCGTTGCTAATGTTGAAGCTCAACTCCGCGCCAAGGAACCTCACGCAGGTCTGGACATTGACCTGATGATCGAAACCATAGAAGAAGTGAACCTCAACCTGAAGTTGGAGGCGACGAAAAAGAAACAAGTAAAGGAACCGGCCGAAGCGAAGCCCGAAGAACAAAAGGAGGTAGAACCCAAACCTACAAAGAAGGACAAGAAGGCCCAGCAAGAAGCCGAAGCCAAGGCTAAGCAAGAAGCGGAAGCCAAGTCCAAGCAAGAAGTCGAAGCCAAGGCAAAGGCTGATGCTGACGAGGCCAAGAAGAAGGAGGCCGACTCCAAGACCGCCAAGAAGGAGGAGAAGGCCAAGCAAGAAGCCGAAGCCAAGGCTAAGCAAGAGGCCGAAGCCAAGGCAAAGGCTGATGCTGAAGAGGCCAAGAAGAAGGAGGTCGACTCCAAGACCGCCAAGAAGGAGGAGAAGGCCAAGCAAGAAGCCGAAGCCAAGGCTAAGCAAGAAGCGGAAGCCAAGGCAAAGGCTGATGCTGCAGAGGCCAAGAAGAAGGAGGTCGACTCCAAGATCTCCAAGAAGGAGGAGAAGGCCAAGCAAGAAGCGGAAGCCAAGGCCAAGCAAGAAGCCGAAGCCAAGGCCAAGCTAGAAGCCGAAGCCAAGGCAAAGGCTGATCCTGAAGAGGCCAAGAAGAAGGAGGTCGACTCCAAGACCGCCAAGAAGGAGGAGAAGGCCAAGCAAGAAGCGGAAGCCAAAGCCAAGCTAGAAGCCGAAGCCAAGGCAAAGGCTGATGCTGAAGAGGCCAAGAAGAAGGAGGTCGACTCCAAGACCGCCAAGAAGGAGGAGAAGGCCAAGCAAGAAGCCGAAGCCAAGGCCAAGCAAGAAGCCGAAGCCAAGGCCAAGCTAGAAGCCGAAGCCAAGGCAAAGGCTGATCCTGAAGAGGCCAAGAAGAAGGAGGTCGACTCCAAGACCGCCAAGAAGGAGGAGAAGGCCAAGCAAGAAGCGGAAGCCAAAGCCAAGCTAGAAGCCGAAGCCAAGGCAAAGGCTGATGCTGAAGAGGCCAAGAAGAAGGAGGTCGACTCCAAGACCGCCAAGAAGGAGGAGAAGGCCAAGCAAGAAGCCGAAGCCAAGGCTAAGCTAGAAGCCGAAGCCAAGGCAAAGGCTGATGCTGAAGAGGCCAAGAAGAAGGAGGTCGACTCCAAGACCGCCAAGAAGGAGGAGAAGGCCAAGCAAGAAGCCGAAGCCAAGGCTAAGCAAGAGGCCGAAGCCAAGGCAAAGGCTGATGCTGAAGAGGTCAAGAAGAAGGAGGCCGACTCCAAGACCGCCAAGAAGGAGGAGAAGGCCAAGCAAGAAGCCGACGCCAAGGCTAAGCAAGAGGCCGAAGCCAAGGCAAAGGCTGATGCTGAAGAGGCCAAGAAGAAGGAGGCGGGCTCCAAGACCGCCAAGAAGGAGGAGAAGGCCCAGAAGGAGGCCGAGGATAAGACCAAGAAGGTCGCCCAAGAGCTCAAAGGAGCTCAAAGTGGCGAGCAAGAGGGCGAGAGCATCGAGGGTAAGACAAAGCTCGGCAAGAAGTCGCGTGCCGAGGGAGCTGAATTCGAGCAAGACGAGGCAAAGCCGAAGGAAAAGTCGGTCGTTGCTAATGTTGAAGCTCAACTCCGCGCCAAGGAACCTCACGCAGGTCTGGACATTGACCTGATGATCGAAACCATAGAAGAAGTGAACCTCAACCTGAAGTCGGAGGCGACGAAAAAGAAACAAGTAAAGGAACCGGCCGAAGCGAAGCCCGAAGAACAAAAGGAGGTAGAACCCAAACCTACAAAGAAGGACAAGAAGGCCCAGCAAGAAGCCGAAGCCAAGGCTAAGCAAGAAGCGGAAGCCAAGTCCAAGCAAGAAGTCGAAGCCAAGGCAAAGGCTGATGCTGACGAGGCCAAGAAGAAGGAGGCCGACTCCAAGACCGCCAAGAAGGAGGAGAAGGCCAAGCAAGAAGCCGAAGCCAAGGCTAAGCAAGAGGCCGAAGCCAAGGCAAAGGCTGATGCTGAAGAGGCCAAGAAGAAGGAGGTCGACTCCAAGACCGCCAAGAAGGAGGAGAAGGCCAAGCAAGAAGCGGAAGCCAAAGCCAAGCTAGAAGCCGAAGCCAAGGCAAAGGCTGATGCTGAAGAGGCCAAGAAGAAGGAGGTCGACTCCAAGACCGCCAAGAAGGAGGAGAAGGCCAAGCAAGAAGCCGAAGCCAAGGCCAAGCAAGAAGCCGAAGCCAAGGCCAAGCTAGAAGCCGAAGCCAAGGCAAAGGCTGATCCTGAAGAGGCCAAGAAGAAGGAGGTCGACTCCAAGACCGCCAAGAAGGAGGAGAAGGCCAAGCAAGAAGCGGAAGCCAAAGCCAAGCTAGAAGCCGAAGCCAAGGCAAAGGCTGATGCTGAAGAGGCCAAGAAGAAGGAGGTCGACTCCAAGACCGCCAAGAAGGAGGAGAAGGCCAAGCAAGAAGCCGAAGCCAAGGCTAAGCTAGAAGCCGAAGCCAAGGCAAAGGCTGATGCTGAAGAGGCCAAGAAGAAGGAGGCCGACTCCAAGACCGCCAAGAAGGAGGAGAAGGCCAAGCAAGAAGCCGAAGCCAAGGCTAAGCAAGAAGCCGAAGCCAAAGCCAAGCTAGCAGCCGAAGCCAAGGCAAAGGCTGATGCTGAAGAGGCCAAGAAGAAGGAGGTCGACTCCAAGACCGCCAAGAAGGACGAGAAGGCCAAGCAAGAAGCCGAAGCCAAGGCTAAGCAAGAGGCCGAAGCCAAGGCAAAGGCTGATGCTGAAGAGGCCAAGAAGAAGGAGGCCGACTCCAAGACCGCCAAGAAGGAGGAGAAGGCCAAGCAAGAAGCCGAAGCCAAGGCTAAGCAAGAGGCCGAAGCCAAGGCAAAGGCTGATGCTGAAGAGGTCAAGAAGAAGGAGGCCGACTCCAAGACCGCCAAGAAGGAGGAGAAGGCCAAGCAAGAAGCCGACGCCAAGGCTAAGCAAGAGGCCGAAGCCAAGGCAAAGGCTGATGCTGAAGAGGCCAAGAAGAAGGAGGCGGGCTCCAAGACCGCCAAGAAGGAGGAGAAGGCCCAGAAGGAGGCCGAGGATAAGACCAAGAAGGCCGCCCAAGAGCTCAAAGGAGCTCAAAGTGGCGAGCAAGAGGGCGAGAGCATCGAGGGTAAGACAAAGCTCGGCAAGAAGTCGCGTGCCGAGGGAGCTGAATTCGAGCAAGACGAGGCAAAGCCGAAGGAAAAGTCGGTCGTTGCTAATGTTGAAGCTCAACTCCGCGCCAAGGAACCTCACGCAGGTCTGGACATTGACCTGATGATCGCAACCATAGAAGAAGTGAACCTCAACCTGAAGTTGGAGGCGACGAAAAAGAAACAAGTAAAGGAACCGGCCGAAGCGAAGCCCGAAGAACAAAAGGAGGTAGAACCCAAACCTACAAAGAAGGACAAGAAGGCCCAGCAAGAAGCCGAAGCCAAGGCTAAGCTAGAAGCCGAAGCCAAGGCAAAGGCTGATGCTGAAGAGGCCAAGAAGAAGGAGGTCGACTCCAAGACCGCCAAGAAGGAGGAGAAGGCCAAGCAAGAAGCCGAAGCGAAGGCTAAGCTAGAAGCCGAAGCCAAGGCAAAGACTGATGCTGAAGAGGCCAAGAAGAAGGAGGCCGAGTCCAAGACCGCCAAGAAGGAGGAGAAGGCCAAGCAAGAAGCCGAAGCCAAGGCTAAGCTAGAAGCCGAAGCCAAGGCAAAGGCTGATGCTGAAGAGGCCAAGAAGAAGGAGGTCGACTCCAAGACCGCCAAGAAGGAGGAGAAGGCCAAGCAAGAAGCCGACGCCAAGGCTAAGCAGGAGGCCGAAGCCAAGGCAAAGGCTGATGCTGAAGAGGCCAAGAAGAAGGAGGCCGACTCCAAGACCGCCAAGAAGGAGGAGAAGGCCAAGCAAGAAGCCGAAGCCAAGGCTAAGCAAGAAGCGGAAGCCAAAGCCAAGCTAGAAGCCGAAGCCAAGGCAAAGGCTGATGCTGAAGAGGCCAAGAAGAAGGAGGCCGACTCCAAGACCGCCAAGAAGGAGGAGAAGGCCAAGCAAGAAGCCGAAGCCAAGGCTAAGCTAGAAGCCGAAGCCAAGGCAAAGGCTGATGCTGAAGAGGCCAAGAAGAAGGAGGTCGACTCCAAGACCGCCAAGAAGGAGGAGAAGGCCAAGCAAGAAGCCGAAGCCAAGGCTAAGCTAGAAGCCGACGCCAAGGCAAAGGCTGATGCTGAAGAGGCCAAGAAGAAGGAGGCCGACTCCAAGACCGCCAAGAAGGAGGAGAAGGCCAAGCAAGAAGCCGAAGCCAAGGCTAAGCAAGAAGCCGAAGCCAAGGCTAAGCAAGAAGCCGAAGCCAAGGCTAAGCTAGAAGCCGAAGCCAAGGCAAAGGCTGATCCTGAAGAGGCCAAGAAGAAGGAGGTCGACTCCAAGACCGCCAAGAAGGAGGAGAAGGCCAAGCAAGAAGCCGAAGCCAAGGCTAAGCTAGAAGCCGAAGCCAAGGCAAAGGCTGATGCTGAAGAGGCCAAGAAGAAGGAGGTCGACTCCAAGACCGCCAAGAAGGAGGAGAAGGCCAAGCAAGAAGCCGAAGCCAAGGCTAAGCAAGAGGCCGAAGCCAAGGCAAAGGCTGATGCTGAAGAGGCCAAGAAGAAGGAGGTCGACTCCAAGACCGCCAAGAAGGAGGAGAAGGCCAAGCAAGAAGCCGAAGCCAAGGCTAAGCAAGAGGCCGAAGCCAAGGCAAAGGCTGATGCTGAAGAGGTCAAGAAGAAGGAGGCCGACTCCAAGACCGCCAAGAAGGAGGAGAAGGCCAAGCAAGAAGCCGACGCCAAGGCTAAGCAAGAGGCCGAAGCCAAGGCAAAGGCTGATGCTGAAGAGGCCAAGAAGAAGGAGGCCGACTCCAAGACCGCCAAGAAGGAGGAGACGGCCAAGCAAGAAGCCGAAGCCAAGGCTAAGCTAGAAGCCGAAGCCAAGGCAAAGGCTGATGCTGAAGAGGCCAAGAAGAAGGAGGCGGGCTCCAAGACCGCCAAGAAGGAGGAGAAGGCCCAGAAGGAGGCCGAGGATAAGACCAAGAAGGCCGCCCAAGAGCTCAAAGGAGCTCAAAGTGGCGAGCAAGAGGGCGAGAGCATCGAGGGTAAGACAAAGCTCGGCAAGAAGTCGCGTGCCGAGGGAGCTGAATTCGAGCAAGACGAGGCAAAGCCGAAGGAAAAGTCGGTCGTTGCTAATGTTGAAGCTCAACTCCGCGCCAAGGAACCTCACGCAGGTCTGGACATTGACCTGATGATCGAAACCATAGAAGAAGTGAACCTCAACCTGAAGTTGGAGGCGACGAAAAAGAAACAAGTAAAGGAACCGGCCGAAGCGAAGCCCGAAGAACAAAAGGAGGTAGAACCCAAACCTACAAAGAAGGACAAGAAGGCCCAGCAAGAAGCCGAAGCCAAGGCTAAGCAAGAAGCGGAAGCCAAGTCCAAGCAAGAAGTCGAAGCCAAGGCAAAGGCTGATGCTGACGAGGCCAAGAAGAAGGAGGTCGACTCCAAGACCGCCAAGAAGGAGGAGAAGGCCAAGCAAGAAGCCGAAGCCAAGGCCAAGCAAGAAGCCGAAGCCAAGGCCAAGCTAGAAGCCGAATCCAAGGCAAAGGCTGATCCTGAAGAGGCCAAGAAGAAGGAGGTCGACTCCAAGACCGCCAAGAAGGAGGAGAAGGCCAAGCAAGAAGCGGAAGCCAAAGCCAAGCTAGAAGCCGAAGCCAAGGCAAAGGCTGATGCTGAAGAGGCCAAGAAGAAGGAGGTCGACTCCAAGACCGCCAAGAAGGAGGAGAAGGCCAAGCAAGAAGCCGAAGCCAAGGCTAAGCTAGAAGCCGAAGCCAAGGCAAAGGCTGATGCTGAAGAGGCCAAGAAGAAGGAGGTCGACTCGAAGACCGCCAAGAAGGACGAGAAGGCCAAGCAAGAAGCCGAAGCCAAGGCAAAGGCTGATGCTGAAGAGGTCAAGAAGAAGGAGGCCGACTCCAAGACCGCCAAGAAGGAGGAGAAGGCCAAGCAAGAAGCCGACGCCAAGGCTAAGCAAGAGGCCGAAGCCAAGGCAAAGGCTGATGCTGAAGAGGCCAAGAAGAAGGAGGCCGACTCCAAGACCGCCAAGAAGGAGGAGGAGACGGCCAAGCAAGAAGCCGAAGCCAAGGCTAAGCAAGAGGCCGAAGCCAAGGCAAAGGCTGATGCTGAAGAGGCCAAGAAGAAGGAGGTCGACTCCAAGACCGCCAAGAAGGAGGAGAAGGCCAAGCAAGAAGCCGAAGCCAAGGCTAAGCAAGAGGCCGAAGCCAAGGCAAAGGCTGATGCTGAAGAGGTCAAGAAGAAGGAGGCCGACTCCAAGACCGCCAAGAAGGAGGAGAAGGCCAAGCAAGAAGCCGACGCCAAGGCTAAGCAAGAGGCCGAAGCCAAGGCAAAGGCTGATGCTGAAGAGGCCAAGAAGAAGGAGGCGGGCTCCAAGACCGCCAAGAAGGAGGAGAAGGCCCAGAAGGAGGCCGAGGATAAGACCAAGAAGGCCGCCCAAGAGCTCAAAGGAGCTCAAAGTGGCGAGCAAGAGGGCGAGAGCATCGAGGGTAAGACAAAGCTCGGCAAGAAGTCGCGTGCCGAGGGAGCTGAATTCGAGCAAGACGAGGCAAAGCCGAAGGAAAAGTCGGTCGTTGCTAATGTTGAAGCTCAACTCCGCGCCAAGGAACCTCACGCAGGTCTGGACATTGACCTGATGATCGAAACCATAGAAGAAGTGAACCTCAACCTGAAGTTGGAGGCGACGAAAAAGAAACAAGTAAAGGAACCGGCCGAAGCGAAGCCCGAAGAACAAAAGGAGGTAGAACCCAAACCTACAAAGAAGGACAAGAAGGCCCAGCAAGAAGCCGAAGCCAAGGCTAAGCAAGAAGCCGAAGCCAAGGCTAAGCTAGAAGCCGAAGCCAAGGCAAAGGCTGATGCTGAAGAGGCCAAGAAGAAGGAGGTCGACTCCAAGACCGCCAAGAAGGACGAGAAGGCCAAGCAAGAAGCCGAAGCCAAGGCTAAGCTAGAAGCCGAAGCCAAGGCAAAGGCTGATGCTGAAGAGGCCAAGAAGAAGGAGGTCGACTCCAAGACCGCCAAGAAGGAGGAGAAGGCCAAGCAAGAAGCCGAAGCCAAGGCTAAGCTAGAAGCCGAAGCCAAGGCAAAGACTGATGCTGAAGAGGCCAAGAAGAAGGAGGCCGAGTCCAAGACCGCCAAGAAGGAGGAGAAGGCCAAGCAAGAAGCCGAAGCCAAGGCTAAGCTAGAAGCCGAAGCCAAGGCAAAGGCTGATGCTGAAGAGGCCAAGAAGAAGGAGGTCGACTCCAAGACCGCCAAGAAGGAGGAGAAGGCCAAGCAAGAAGCCGACGCCAAGGCTAAGCAGGAGGCCGAAGCCAAGGCAAAGGCTGATGCTGAAGAGGCCAAGAAGAAGGAGGCCGACTCCAAGACCGCCAAGAAGGAGGAGAAGGCCAAGCAAGAAGCCGAAGCCAAGGCTAAGCAAGAAGCGGAAGCCAAAGCCAAGCTAGAAGCCGAAGCCAAGGCAAAGGCTGATGCTGAAGAGGCCAAGAAGAAGGAGGCCGACTCCAAGACCGCCAAGAAGGACGAGAAGGCCAAGCAAGAAGCCGACGCCAAGGCTAAGCAGGAGGCCGAAGCCAAGGCAAAGGCTGATGCTGAAGAGGCCAAGAAGAAGGAGGCCGACTCCAAGACCGCCAAGAAGGAGGAGAAGGCCAAGCAAGAAGCCGAAGCCAAGGCTAAGCAAGAAGCGGAAGCCAAAGCCAAGCTAGAAGCCGAAGCCAAGGCAAAGGCTGATGCTGAAGAGGCCAAGAAGAAGGAGGTCGACTCCAAGACCGCCAAGAAGGACGAGAAGGCCAAGCAAGAAGCCGAAGCCAAGGCTAAGCAAGAAGCGGAAGCCAAAGCCAAGCTAGAAGCCGAAGCCAAGGCAAAGGCTGATGCTGAAGAGGCCAAGAAGAAGGAGGCCGACTCCAAGACCGCCAAGAAGGAGGAGAAGGCCAAGCAAGAAGCCGAAGCCAAGGCTAAGCAAGAAGCGGAAGCCAAAGCCAAGCTAGAAGCCGAAGCCAAGGCAAAGGCTGATGCTGAAGAGGCCAAGAAGAAGGAGGCCGACTCCAAGACCGCCAAGAAGGAGGAGAAGGCCAAGCAAGAAGCCGAAGCCAAGGCTAAGCAAGAGGCCGAAGCCAAGGCAAAGGCTGATGCTGAAGAGGCCAAGAAGAAGGAGGCCGACTCCAAGACCGCCAAGAAGGAGGAGAAGGCCAAGCAAGAAGCCGAAGCCAAGGCTAAGCAAGAAGCGGAAGCCAAAGCCAAGCTAGAAGCCGAAGCCAAGGCAAAGGCTGATGCTGAGGAGGCCAAGAAGAAGGAGGCCGACTCCAAGACCGCCAAGAAGGAGGAGAAGGCCAAGCAAGAAGCCGAAGCCAAGGCTAAGCTAGAAGCCGAAGCCAAGGCAAAGGCTGATGCTGAAGAGGCCAAGAAGAAGGAGGTCGACTCTAAGGCCGCCAAGAAGGAGGAGAAGGCCAAGCAAGAAGCCGAAGCCAAGGCCAAGCAAGAGGCGGAAGCCAAGGCAAAGACTGATGCTGAAGAGGCCAAGAGGAAGGAGGCCGACTCCAAGATTTCCAAGAAGGAAGAGAAGGCCAAGCAAGACGCCGAAGCCAAGGCCAAGCAAGAAGCCGAAGCCAAGGCAAAGGCTGATGCTGAAAAGGCCAAGAAGAAGGAGGTCGACTCCAAGACCGCCAAGAAGGAGGAGAAGGCCAAGCAAGAAGCCGAAGCCAAGGCCAAGCAAGAAGCCGAGGCCAAGGCCAAGCAAGAAGCCGAAGCCAAGGCAGAGGCTGAAGAGTCCAAGAAGAAGGAGGCCGACTCCAAGTCCGCCAAGAAGGACGAGAAGGTCAAGAAGGCGAAGGACGTCGAAGGTGTAAAGGGACCTGCGGGTGCAATTGAGGCCACTTTCCAGAGAAAGGAGCAATCCATGAATGTGGATGCTTTCCTTCACATCGAGACCGTTGAGGTGGCTTCGTTGACTACCGTGCAGCCAATGTCCACGACACGTCGGCGTTCGTCGGTGAAGCAGGAGGAGCTGACAATTGTGGTAAATGCTGAACTAGCCGGCAAGACGAGGGACGAAATAACGGAGAAATGTCTACGTGGCGTTGGGAAAGATTCAGCTAGTTTGAAAACCAAGGCACCATCATTCGTTGAATGCTTCTGCACGGCCAGCTTTACCAAGCAGCGCACTGAGCGCATCGGAGTTGGATTTGTTTTTGGAAGAGGACCGGTAAGTGCGGGGCTTGTGGTTTTGATCTTGGGTGGCATTTTAGCGGTGCTTGATAGGGAAGCAACGAATTAAAAACGTTATCTAGGAACCGAGTGAGGAGTTGCCTTCCGAAAGCGAGTATCCCGATCTGCTCTCCCCCGTTCTCAACATCAAATCGCCGTTGGGAGAGGAGGTGATGTTCCCCGAGGAGCCAGCCGAGAAGAAGAAGAAGAAAAAGAAGAAGGGAAAAGATCAGCAGAAGGAAGAGAAGACTGAGGGGCTCTTAGAGGTCAATGTGTCGAGGCAACGTACAAGTTCCGGTGAGTTTGGATATCCTTTGGATTCCTAAACGAGGGGAACCAAAAATAAAAACTTTTTAGGGACGAGCGACCTCATGGTGGAACTCGACATTTCCGCCGGAGAAGAGCAGGCAAAAACCGATGCGGTTGTCGACATGAACTTCTTCGATTTCGAGGAGACTGAGATCAGCCTACACGAGCCGACACCAGTGGAGAATCTGCTCGAGGTCGACGTGATGCTGGAGTCGCTGCAAGAAGAGGAGGAGATTGATGCGATCGCGCCAGCCAAAGCCATGCAGGTAGGAAACAAGGAAAAACAGGCAGAAAATACACAAAAATTAATGAACACGGTATATTAAGGCGAATATAAAAAAATAATTTCGTGAAAAAAACATTAGACGTAGCAGTTGCCAAAAACACACTAATGTCAGTTCTAGCATAGTGTGTAAGGGTAAAATCTGCTAGGGTCTCTGTTCTCCCAACCCTTCAATAGGCCAACGGTGTGAGCATTTTGCACGATTCGAAATCCTGGCCGCACGGAATCCAGGCCAAACTAAAAGGGGCGTGGCTAGCCCGGATTCCGGGTCGCCCGAAAAGTCGGGCGGGCAACCCGTATTTAACGCCCTTTCGCGCCCCTTCGCGCCCTCCTGTAAATAACGCCCCCCTGTATTTCGCGCCCCCTGTATTTAACGCTCTCCTGTAAATAACGCCCTGCAAAACGAGCTTTTTCCTGTAAATAACGCCCTTTTCGTGGTCATTTGGAGGGCGTTAAATACAGGGGGCGTTATTTACAGGGGGCGCGAAATACAGGAGGGCGCGAAAGGGGGGCGTGAAGGGGCGTTAAATACGGGTTGCCAGTCGGCCGGCTTGGATTTCGGATCGGGCAACCCCAAACTTGCGTAATGAACCAAATCCGCAGAGCTGGTTCTCCCCAGATTGTATCGGGAAAGCACTGTTATCTTCGAGCAGTGGACCAGGTCGACGTCTTTTGCCGACTTTTTTTCGGCCGACTTTTGTCTTTTCTTTTGCCTGGTACGGTTTTGCCTCACCACCAGAACGAAAATGCGCGCTTAGCTGGTATTATAAACCGAATTTTTGTAAAAATCAGCTCATAAACAATTCATACCAAAGCCGAATAACCCTATAACTAAAAAATTGGTTACTTCCTTTGCTAGAATAGCGGGTTCTCGAATTTCCACTGAAAGATGGGAAAGTTTCATGAAAATAGCTCGTTAATCAATGATTCGCCCAAAAAATGCGCGATTTTACAAGATTAAGCCATTACGAGCTTTTGCTATTCAAAAAATAAAAGGAAACACTAATAGAAACGTTTTACAAAAAGATACAAGGTTTGCAAGTCGTTTCAATGTTAGGCGGCTCAAAGCTTACGAAACGCATCAGCTTTTGATGGCTGAAAATGCTAGAGCTTATAAATATACTTTTGAAGGAAAAACGTAAGAAAAAAAGCTAAAAACGGGGTTAGAAAGGACTTTGTTGCAAGGGCGAAATCGAGGCATTTTTGGAGGAAGCGCGGCGGCCCAGCCCCCTTTCGCGGTTGGGGAAAGGCCGAGCCCCGCCCCCTTCCGAGCCCCCCCACCAATACCGCGCTGCGCTTCTAAAGTCGATTTCAGGCGCATTTCATTGATTTTTCTCAAAATAAAAGTGATACTATGATAGCTTAGACCTAGCTGAACATTTTGTTGTATTTTCGAAGCTAAACGGGCTAATATTCGCATAGATTTGGCTCGATAAAGTGCTTGAAGGCCATAATTTTTCAATAAAGAACAGTTGAGCCTATATTTAAACCAGCGGAGCATTGGACCAACAATTTACGAAGTAACAAATGACGGGCTATTTTTAGGCCGTCGAACAAACGATACAACGCAAATACGGGGACGCGAAGCTGTCGAAGAACTTTGACGAGCAGCGTATGCCCCAAAGAGCTGAGGCCGAGATAGTCGTCAGTGAGAAGAGCGTGGTTACCGCGAAGACGCGCAAGACCATCTTCCGCGAACTTCCTGAGGACGTGCAAGCCGATGAGGAAGGTGGTAAGTCTTTTCTAGGACAATTTGACACCTTCGCCCTAGAGGTATATTCAATTACTATGTTTTTTTCAGAAAAACCTCGTCAAGTCATCCTGCAACACCCGGAACCCCTTTCCATTGACGTTGTCAGTCAAGTCGGAAAGCTCACGGTCGTCGCCAAGCATCCGATCGAAGAGGCCGTTTGGTACCGCAACGACCTCGTCGTGCCCAAGTCCGACTTTGTGGAGCAGGCGGACGGCCCGAACACGTCGAGCCTAATCCTGAAACGCTTCACTGGCAGCTTGGTGGGCGAGTACCATTGCGTGGTGGATGGTGTCGCATCTGAAAAAGCCAAGCTCACCGCAGCGATCGCTCCGGAGATCACGAGTGATATCTCTGGAAAGACCGTGATCTGCTTGGCGAACAAACCTTTTGATTTCCAAATCGACTTCGCCGCGTATCCAGCCCCGACGCTGAAGATTCAACACGAATCAGGTGCGGATATGATGTACGACGCGACGATGTACGATGACTACGTGTCGTTGCGGTTCCGTAACCTCAGGACCCGAAACTCCGGGCAGATCACGATCACGCTGGAGAACAGCGTCGGGAAGCAGGAGGTCAAGCTGCGAATGAAAGTTATCGATACGCCGCTGGCCCCGCAGAACCTGGTCGCTAGTGATGTCACCGATCGCAGCGTCAAGCTGACCTGGGAACCACCAGAGGGTAGCCTGGAGTTTGTCGATAACTTCATCGTGCAAAGGAAGGCCGGAGACATCTCAAGGTGGCGAAATATCGCTACCTTGTCAGCGAAGACCTTCGAGTACCAGAACACTGAGTTGCTGGCAAATGAGATGTATTCGTTCCGTATTGTTGGTGAAAACAGTACGGGAGAGGGAACTCCCAGCAACAAGGTCAACATCGTTACTCTGGAGGAGATCAGCGATGAAGAGTCTGAGGCCGAGGGCAGCCCGGTGGAGCCTACGGAAGCCGACAAGGATGTGCCTGAGACGGTTGAGGAGGTTAGTGAACCAACTGAGGAGGCTAAGCCCAAAAAGACCAAGAAAAAGGTGAAGAAGCCCGCTGAGGACCAGAAAGAGGAAGTTAAGGAAGATGTAGCAGTAAAGGGGGAGCCTGAGGTCAAGAAAGAGACCGATAAGCCTGTCGAAGCGCAAGCCAAGCCAGAGGAAGCTGAAGCGCAGAAGCCAGAGGCGCAGGACCTCAAAGGGTCCCAAGCTGCCGAACAAGCCGGCGAGGATCTTGAGGGATCCGCAAAACTGCGCAAGAAGTCCAAAGCTGATGGCGCTGAAGAGGAAGAAGATGAAGAGAAGCCTAAGAAAAAGAAGAAGACCGCCAAGAAACCAACGGATGAAGCGGAAACAGTTCCAAAGACCACAGCACCGGAGGAAACGCCAGCGAGCAAGATAGACGCTGCCGAGATGCAGAAGACCGAGGCAGCCAAAGACCAGCCCCAAGCCGAGCAAGCTGGAAACGCAGACGACGGAACGGTCGAACAGAAGAAAAAGAAGAAGGTTACAAAACGCAAGGACTCCGCCGCGAAGTCGCTGGGCGAAGCCGAGGCCAGGTCGGTCCAGGAGGAGAAGGCGACGAAGGAGGCTGAAGAGAAGCCTAAGAAGGAAGCTGTGGCCAAGGCCAGGCAAGAAGCCGAAGACAAGGCCAAGCAAGACGCCGAAGCCAAGGCAAAGGCTGAAGCTGAAGAGGCCAAGAAGAAAGAGGCCGACTCCAAGACGGACAAGAAGGAGGAGAAGGCCAAGAAGGAGGCTGAGGACAAAGCCAAGCAAGAAGCCGAAGTCAAGGCAAAGGCTGATGCTGAAGAGGCCAAGAAGAAGGAGGCCGACTCCAAGACGGCCAAGAAGGAGGAGAAGGCCAAGAAGGAGGCCGAGGAGAAGGCCAAGAAGGAGGCTGAGGACAAAGCCAAGCTAGAAGCCGAAGCCAAGGCAAAGGCTGATGCTGAAGAGGCCAAGAAGAAGGAGGCCGACTCCAAGACGGCCAAGAAGGAGGAGAAGGCCAAGAAGGAGGCCGAGGAGAAGGCCAAGAAGGAGGCTGAGGACAAAGCCAAGCTAGAAGCCGAAGCCAAGGCCAAGCAAGAAGCCGAAGCCAAGGCAAAGGCTGATGCTGAAGATGCCAAGAAGAAGGAGGCCGACTCCAAGACGGCCAAGAAGGAGGAGAAGGCCAAGAAGGAGGCCGAGGAGAAGGCCAAGAAGGAGGCTGAGGACAAAGCCAAGCTAGAAGCCGAAGCCAAGGCAAAGGCTGATGCTGAAGAGGCCAAGAAGAAGGAGGCCGACTCCAAGACGGCCAAGAAGGAGGAGAAGGCCAAGAAGGAGGCCGAGGAGAAGGCCAAGAAGGAGGCTGAGGACAAAGCCAAGCTAGAAGCCGAAGCCAAGGCCAAGCAAGAAGCCGAAGCCAAGGCAAAGGCTGATGCTGAAGAGGCCAAGAAGAAGGAGGCCGACTCCAAGACGGCCAAGAAGGAGGAGAAGGCCAAGAAGGAGGCTGATGAGAAGGCCAAGAAGGAGGCTGAGGACAAAGCCAAGCTAGAAACCGAAGCCAAGGCCAAGCAAGAAGCCGAAGCCAAGGCAAAGGCTGATGCTGAAGAGGCCAAGAAGAAGGAGGCCGACTCCAAGACGGCCAAGAAGGAGGAGAAGGCCAAGAAGGAGGCCGAGGAGAAGGCCAAGAAGGAGGCTGAGGACAAAGCCAAGCTAGAAGCCGAAGCCAAGGAAAAGGCTGATGCTGAAGATGCCAAGAAGAAGGAGGCCGACTCCAAGACGGCCAAGAAGGAGGAGAAGGCCAAGAAGGAGGCCGAGGAGAAGGCCAAGAAGGAGGCTGAGGACAAAGCCAAGCTAGAAGCCGAAGCCAAGGAAAAGGCTGATGCTGAAGATGCCAAGAAGAAGGAGGCCGACTCCAAGACGGCCAAGAAGGAGGAGAAGGCCAAGAAGGAGGCCGAGGAGAAGGCCAAGAAGGAGGCTGAAGACAAAGCCAAGCTAGGAGCCGAAGCCAAGGCCAAGCAAGAAGCCGAAGCCAAGGCAAAGGCTGATGCTGAAGAGGCCAAGAAGAAGGAGGCCGACTCCAAGACGGCCAAGAAGGAGGAGAAGGCCAAGAAGGAGGCTGATGAGAAGGCCAAGAAGGAGGCTGAGGACAAAGCCAAGCTAGAAGCCGAAGCCAAGGCCAAGCAAGAAGCCGAAGCCAAGGCAAAGGCTGATGCTGAAGAGGCCAAGAAGAAGGAGGCCGACTCCAAGACGTCCAAGAAGGAGGAGAAGGCCAAGGAGGAGGCCGAGGAGAAGGCCAAGAAGGAGGCTGAGGACAAAGCCAAGCTAGAAGCCGAAGCCAAGGCAAGGGCCGACGAGGAAAAGAAAGCGGCGCAAGACCTCAAGGGTGCCCAATCCGGCGAGCAAGCCGGTGAGGACCTCGAGGGGTCCGCCAAACTGCGCAAGAAATCGAAGACTGAAGGAGCCGAGAAAGAAGCGGACGAGGAGAAGCCCAAGAAAAAGAAGAAGAGCACCAAGAAGGCAGCTGAAGAAGTGGAGACACCAAAGGAAACTACCGATGAGGAGGGTGCTGAGGTTGCTGATGTCGTCAAGGCGGAGGAAGAGCAAGAGAAGCCGAAGAAAAAGAAGAAGAAGTCCTTGGACGGTTCAGAACCAACAAAGACCGTTGCGTTCGAGGCAGACCTTGAGAAGAAGGAGGAGCGCCGATCTGAGGAAGCCGAGCTAACAGAGGTGACCTTGGAGGAGGCTGCTGTGGCCGGTGAGGTTGATGAGGAGGCCGAGTTGGCAGCTGCGCGCAGGAAGAAGAAGCGTGTGTCGTTTGCTGAAGGGTTGGAGGAGCCGGAGGAGAAGGAGGAAGAGCGTGTGGAACGTGAGTTAATTACGTAAAAAGGGGGAGACGTTGGTGTACTGGTTACGGTTATTGAGGTACCATATCTTTGGCGTAGGTATCGGAAGCTTAACTTATGCAAAAAAAACAGGTTCGAAATCGTAAAACAAGATGCTAGGGGCAAGCGAAAGGTGCGTCCGGTCAATAACGCAGGGAAATACCAAAAATCCGAAGACTGGGGAAGTGGGGCTGTCTTTGCGGATGGGCGGTCCTAGAGCGCACGCATTGCCGTCGGCATTAGTGTTGCGGCGTACTCATAGGAAAACGGGCTAGTGGAGTGGGGAGCTCAGCTAAAGTAAGCCGTAGCAGCCATTGTTTTGCGACAAAACCTATAATTTACGGACGCCTTGAATCCTTAAACATCATTGAGCACCCTTTTCAGCCATCGGTTTCTCCGAGCACCCGTCAGACGTCTCGGCAACCGCTCTAGGCGAGCTTATCCAGCTCACCTGTGCCTTCACTGGCGCCCCAGGAAGTGTCCGGTGGTACAAGGGTGCTGTCGAGATGTTCGAGATGCGGAACCGGTACGAGATCGTGACGGAGGGCAACAGGACGACGTTGCGGATCCTGCGCGCAGCGCCACAGGTAAGCCTGGCGTAATGCTTAATGGTTGCATATTGACTGGCACCGAATCATAGTTACGCTTTACGGCACAGGGTTGGACCTGGGTCGCGGGTAGTAGCAATACTTTTTGGCATTCCTTGCAGGTGTAAATTCAATGTTTCGGGAATGGGTTGGGTGCAGAATTACGCAACCAGTACAATATTAGATACTTCTCTCGTTGTCATTTCAATGGTGGCCGATTCACTAGCACGGTCAAGGTTTAGAATTAAGGAGTACGGCTTCTTTGAAGCGTAGCTACCCGTAAGTTTGAACCTGACTCATAGTTAGGTTTCTCCCACGTAGTACTTATCTTTTTGCGCCGATCACACGAGTAAATTCAATGTTTCGAGGTTCGATTGGGTGTAGAATTGCGCAACGAGTACAGTAACTTGTACTGAGCTGATCGTTGCATATGAATTTTAAGAATGATAGAAATAGTAAAAAATTCGTTGTGAGAAGGTACATCTTCTTCCCCAGGAAGGATCAGCAGGATCAATTGAATATTTAACGGCTACATTCAAAAACTTCAGGACATTGGCGACTACCACGTGACCCTCGACGACAAGCTGGACAGCATGAGCTCCCGGGTGGACATCCGGGCAGCGCCGAAGATCGATCTGCTCGACACCAAGCCCGAGATCAAACTGACGCAGGGCCAGACGTTGAGCTTCTCCTTCGAGTTCAACGGATATCCCAAGCCTGAGGTTGACGTCATCCTGAATCGATTGCCCTTCAAGGTAGGAGTTATTTTCGACATTTTGACGTCTTTAGACCTACAGAAACGTACATTAAAACCGATATACGTTTAGATGAAGGGCCAGGTTGACCAGTACGAGGATGCGGTGACTGTACGTCTGCGTAACGTCGCCCAGAAAGACGGTGGAACCATCGAAATCGACGCCACAAACATATACGGAACTGCCACGGCGACGGTCAAGCTGATCGTGGTAGATGTTCCTGGGGCACCGCAGAAGTTGGTCTGCCAGAAGGTGCGAATTTTTCTGAGATGTCCAAATTGCCAGAACTTTTTGATTGAACTCGGAGCGTTCCATTAGTGGCCAAGCAACAGTTTTCGTCATCAAAAATTTTGAAACACGTTTCGGAAAACTCCGATTTTGACGCGGGTGAAAACACTTTGCAAAAGCTCGGCCACTTGCGAAAAAATGTTTCATACATTTTCAAGGAAGTTTGACTTTTAGTTGGGGGAATTTTCGTCTGGTTTTATGGTCACTCGGAAAACTCAAGGAGGAAAAAAGGGGAATTTAAATCGATGTCAACGTAAAAGAAATGTTTCGGGCATCGTTAATATTGAGATAATTCTGAGAAAATCAATTCCATGAAGTATCTCATACTACCAATGTTTTTTCAGAGCTTTTGTAAGGGATTCATTGTAGTATCCGCTCTACCTCAAGGTTGATTGTCCTACCATCTGTTCAAAAACAAAAAACCTTGCAACATTTTTTCCACGATAATCTGGCAGCGCAATTCGATTTATCAATTTTTGTGCTTTTCTAAAAAAATCATCATCTAATCTTGCTCTGACGTCAGCTTCCGGAAAAAGCATTTACTCATAGATTTCTTTCAAAATAATCGTTATATCGTCGGTCGTAGGAAAATAAATTTTAATGTTTTAATTCGTCACCAGGGTTGAAAAGCCGCTTCGCGACTTTTCAACCCTGGCCCCGTCTCGGATCCCATACTATTTTTCGCTTTGCATAATTGTCCTCCATTCAATCAGAAGACAAAAAATGAAAACAACCGTTTCTGCCGCTTTATATAGGCGACCACCCACTTCCGCTCTATGCAAATTATTCCTAACAAAGAGGTTTTTACAAAAACTTAAATTTAATAGCGAAAATGGCTAATTTTTAAAAATCTGGTATGTGTGCAGTCATCCCTAGACCATTACGCACCTAATGACGTATCATACGTAGCCTAATACCCGTCCCTTCTTGAGATATCCTCCGGACAGACAGACGGAAGTGGATGCAAAGTGGCACACACACACACACACAGACACTCTTTTTTTATATATAGTAGGATTCGTCGTCCTTATGCTAAAATTCAAATCGAGTTATTTTTCTGCATCGGACAGACTTGTAACATTTAAAATTGACAAATTGGTGGCAGGTATTTCTTATTTCAGCTAGGAGCTTTCTTCTGAGCTTTTAGAATTTATGAAAAAGCAAATTAAATTTTGGCTTTCCCCCCGACATCCGTTTGGTAATAAAGATTAACATATAGGTTTTCAGTAATTATTAAAACGGCTAGAAAATTATTAAAAAGGTTAGGCGAATATTTGAAGTTTTTTGAAGGTTTAATGAAACTTTCAAAAGTTTTTAATTTTTTTAAGCTTACCGGTTAGCTAAGGTTTTTCTAGCACAAGAGCACACGCATTGAATGATCAACTTTCCGCAAAATACTCGAGTAATAGCGAAACATTCTTTCCGCCGAAAATTTAAATTTTTGCGAAGACCTACAACTACTGTATTTGCCCGTTCGAGTCTTCAACGCTCCTTGCAGGTGACGCACAACTCTGCCGTACTATCTTGGCAACAACCCGACGAGGACAACGGCGCCCCGATTACGGCGTATATTGTCGAACGGAAGACGGTCGACTTCTCCAGATGGCGTCAGGTAAATACTTTTCTTTTTTGCACGTCCTTAACAAACCAATATTAAATTACTCATTCCGCAAATCGGTTTTGAAAAAATTGGAAACATATTTTTTTCGGCATGTCCCGGGATTTTAAAGGAACCGGAAAGGGCGAAAATCGGGTAGTTGTGAGATCGAGTCAATGTTGAATTTCGTTTATAATAATTATCAAAGGAATTGTAAATATCCCGAATAAAGATTATCGGCTTAGGGATTAATTTATTATTTGTTTAAGGGCAACGCATTTTTTTACGAAGTATGGTTTCGGTCGAAGACTAAAAATCTCTCATTATGAGGTGGTTCCTCAAATAGGGGTAGCCAAAATTCAAAACATTTTATTTTAGCAAAAGCGTTCGATAATTTTAAAGGGATCGGAAAACAAAAGGATTCATCGCTCTGATTGCTCACCAGTATGATGACCATAAAGAAAAACGGGTTGCGAAAAGCTGGAACACGTTTTCGGATTTTAAAGGCGTCAGAAAGTATTAGCACACCCCCCTATACTTTTAGTTTTCGAAGATGGGCATTTAATGAGCAAAAATCACCGATCGATTGATATCAAAGCAAGAGTTTAATGACTAATTTAGCGTTCAGATATTTCTCGAGGCTTAGTCAGTGCCTAGGGTCGATTCGCTAGCTTGAACGTTCATTTCAGCCTCAGCGAATGTAAAATTGAGCTTTATAGGTATTCTATAAACTTTTTACGAAGGTTTATTAAGAACAAAAAGTGGAAAATTTAATTAGGTAGCCCATCTTGAACTCTGGATTTGTGAAAATTCAGAACATATTTTTTGAAAGCCACCGTAGGTCAAAAACACAATTCGCCTAATAATGGATATTCAACATGACATTTACCATTTGGTGTAAATGTCTATACCTAGTCGACGGCAGGGTCGATTTTTGCGGCGTACCGTCCCTTTAAATTGGGCAATGTCTATGAAGAGGCGATTGCAATCTTACCCGCCTATTTTCCCTCTTTTTGTCTAGAAACATCTAATTTTACTGTAAAAATTCAAAAGGTACCTAAAAGCCCGACGTTTGGCTTAAATCAATTAAAAATATAATCGACTTAATAAATCGATACCTTTCCAGGTGGCCACCATCGACGACGGGTCCACGAAATATACAGCCAGGGACCTGTTGCCGAAGGAGTTCTATGGGTTCCGCATTTTGGCGGTGAATACTTGCGGTGAAGGTACGTGTTTCAGATATTTTAATCGTTCTGGTTGAGTAGTTTATTTTAATATGACGCCTCTAGCGAAATATTATAGTTTATCATCGCGGGCTACTTGGATAAATTAAATTTAAATTTCTGAATTTAATGAATACGAAAAAATAGCACCGAATCGGCGTATTTTTTAAATTATTTCGCCACAATATTTCGAATTTTTCTCATCATAGTCATAGATTTAAAGCGTTATTTTTATACCTTTAGATGGAAATAGAGTTACTAAAATCAGAATTGAATTTAATAAATTGGGTTTTTAGTATTTAATGTACTACTTCTCGAATTATCATGACTTAATAAATTAATAGGAAAAGTTAACTAGAGGATTTTATGTAGTATTGACGACTAAAAATAATATATTTTATCGATTGTATGCATAAGAGGAGTTTAATGATCCTTTACATACCTTTAAAAACCTAACTGACTAAATAAAAAATTTAATTCGAGAATTTCAAACAATTTTCCAGGGGCCCCGAGCAAGGTGGTCGACGTAGACACGTTGGAGGAGCCGGAGGACTACGAAGAAGAGGGATACGACGACGAGTTGAAGGAGTACGACGACGAGAAGGAGGAGGTTTTGGAAGAAGACCAGGAGAAGATCAGCAGACTCTCGGCGAGGACTGAAGGTTGGTAAAGTTTTGCAACCATTCATTGCATTGAAACATGTTTTTTTTGAAAATTCTATGTCTCGGTACTGTCGTATTTTTCTCGCTATTGGTTATTATTAATGCGTCGACCCCTCCATTACCAAATTTGTCAGCCTTCAATTCTTTCAATTTTGCTTCTCGGGTTTAATTCCGTTCCGCTCTTCCCCATAATTTTGTCGCCATCTTCACCTTTCAAAAAATTGCTGATTATCCAAATTCTTTTCCCATGTTTCATAAAACTTGGACTACGAATAAGCCTGTATTTAAGCAATTGCCCAACATATCCGTTTGGGACCTACCTAACACCATTTCCAAAAGGAATTTTGCTATCCTGCCCTCTGCTGCGGTCCGAATTTCCTCATAGTCTCTGCTAGCTCGCGTTCCTCTCGGGGACTCCTATTTGAGCCTAGTATTCCTGTTTAAAAATTCCATTTGAGAAAATGCGGTTCGGTACAATACTCGAACCATTGTTCACTTTAAACATTCTTTTTCGTACGCTTCAAAAAAACAAACATTTTTCGGCCCTGCTTATGATTGCAAATTATAGCTATGGAAGGTTAGTCTTAAGTTGCGTCAAGTAACGTGGTAACCGTTCGAATTCTTCAAGAATGTTTCATAAAAATTAGTCTGGAAATGAGGTTAGGGTTAGGCAATTTGCGACAAGGTCCATCGTTTGTGAACAATGGCGTGTCCCTTCTAAAATTGCTCTCATCTACCCTCCGCCAGGTGCCTAATTTCCTCAAACAATCTCTGCTAGCCTGCCCTCCTCTCGGGGTCCGTCCATTTCCTCAAACATTCTCTGCTAGCCTGCCCTCCTCTCGGGGTCCGTCCATTTCCTCAAACAATCTCTGCTAGCCTGCCCTCCTCTCGGGGTCCGTCCATTTCCTCAAACAATCTCTGCTAGCCTGCCCTCCTCTCGGGGTCCGTCCATTTTCTCCTCCAATCTCTGCTAGCCTGCCCTCCTCTCGGGGTCCGTCCATTTCCTCAAACAATCTCGGCTAGCCTGCTCTCCTCTCGCGGTCCGTCCATTTCCTCAGACAATCCCTGCTAGCCTGCCCGCCTCAGGGAGTCTAGATTTCCCAAAGAATCTCTGCTAGCCCTCCGCCAATGATCTCTGCCAGACCGTTCACACCACGGCGCCCGCGTGGCGGCAATGTCTAGGCTGCTCTCAAGCCCTGTTCCTCCTCCTCCTCCCGCTTTTTTCGTTCATGTTCACAGCCGAGTCAAGTGTCAGTTTCTCTCATTTTTGTGTGGTTGGGGGTCAAACTTGTGGTGCGCGCGGGACCAGGCGGCAGCAGCCAACCTCACTTATCTCTTGGCCACTTTTTTACGTGGCCCTGGGCCCTAAGCATTAGGGCCCAGCGCGACCTCCCCCCCTGCTGACAATTTGTATGCGTGGCCCTCTCTTCTTGAGAGATCCCCCCTTCTCTAGATCTCTACCACGGGCGCACGCCCCTCTAACGCGCGCCTCCCCCCTCGCAAGCGCGCAAAGACAACGCGACCAGGCTCTAGGCCCCGGCAAATAGTAAATCTGAGGAGGGGGGTAGTAAATATCGGGGACGCATAGTTAAGGGCGGGGGACAAGCTGGCAGAGATCATTAAGGATAGGGGCAGGCTAGCAGAGATCATTTGGGTTGAGAGAGAGGGGGAGGAGGCAGGCTAGCAGAGATCATTTGGGACGAGAGAGAGGGGGAGGGGGCAGGCTAGCAGAGATCATTTGGGACGAGAGAGAGGGGGAGGGGCAGGCTAGCAGAGATTATTTGCCGCGCATCACCAAAATTTCTTTTTTTGTATAAGTGCAGTAACTGCAGACAATTAGTGCACCTGGGTATTACTGCACCTCCTTTTTTGCTTGGAACATTTTTTCCACAGCTATGGCCGAATTTCGAATGACTTACAGGGATCCTTCCAGAATTTACAAAACCTGAGTTTCAATAGATCAACTGAAAATACAGAGTATCATTGGCCAAATAATTCTAATGAATGGGACATGAATTTTTCTTCTGCAGCGAATTAATGCATTTCTTTATTACCGCGCTTCATAGTTCCTTGAAACATTTTTGCCAAAACGCCGTTAATACACCTGAAGTCCAGTCAAAAACCGGATTTCTAGGTATTTTTCGAGCGGGCAATGATTATTTAGAAATAAGACAGGCGAGCTGCCAACTAGAAACACTTCGGGTGAAGTTTGGGCTTACCAGCAGAAAATAGCCTGGAACACTACTTTTCAACTTAAAAATTCGAGAAGCAGGCTAGCAGAGACTCCTTGGGAAGATGAGAAAATCCTAGCAAGGTAAGGGCAATCTAGCAGGCATCATTGCGGAATTGCTACTAAAGTGAAGCGGTCCATTAGGTTTAGGCTGGACCCAAACCTTGCTGTCCGCCTTTTATGCATTTTTTAAGCTTTGCATTGTGTTCCGAGAATTAATAGATTTCACCATTACTCCAATTTGTATTTTCTTGAAACCCATTTTTTACCAAATTCAGCAGATACATCGAAATTTCTAGCACAAATATTTAGCTTGTTGTAATTTGGGCATGCTAGCAAAGACACTTTTGGAATCGAAAGCGCCAAATCATTTGAACGAAAGCTGGCAGAAATCCTTTAGGAATTAGGAGGAAAACGCAACATTTAAATTTGTAAGTTCGAGAGGCAGAGATAGCAGCTAGCAGCGACCATTGCGGAACCCTAATCCCGGTCGTAATTCGAGGGGCAGGCTAGCAAAGATCCTTGGGAGGATAGAACCTATTAAAGCATTGGGCGAGCCAGCAGAGACGCTTGCGGAAACCTACTTCCGCTCAAAATTCGAGAGGTAGGCTAGCAGAGACCATTGTGGAACCCTATTTTGGTCAAAATTGAGGCAGGCTGGCAAATACCCCTAAGGAAATGGTGTACAGTTGCCGGCGCGCGCGTCCTCCCTGGCCTGTGGATTTGGGGTGGATGAAAGAGGGTAGTGGGGGTCTTTTGGTTGTGTATTCGGTTCCTTTCTCTCTCTTTTTCTCTCTCTCTCTCTCTCTCTCTCTCTCTCTCTCTCTCTCTCTCGCTCTTCGAATCTCAAATCCGCCTCCCTCACTCCCCCAGGAGAGAGAAAGATCCACTATTTACCCACCATCCCCAGCAGATGCACGTTCCCTGGTATCCCCCCTTCTACTGGCGAAGCCGTTTTTCATAATTACTGTTTTCTCAAACGATCTCTGCTAGCCTGCCCCCCTCTTGCGTCCGTCCATTTCCACAAAGAATCTCTGCTAGCCTTCCCTTTCCTGTTTACCTTCTCTGAATTTCAAAAAAAAGTGCTTCGACCCTTAGGTGCTATGGCCTGGACACCAACACAATAATAAATTCCCATTCCCGACCTCCAATTTTTGCTTATGATTTTTTACAATTTTTGCATAATTAAACTCTAAAATTCACTCTGTCTGAAAAATTTCGCTCTCCTCAATATCATCAATATCCGAAAATTTCCCTGCTGCCTGCTCGATTTGAAATAACCCATGCGCAGGAGCAACAACTAAAAATGTGTTTCAAAATATCTGGTCTTTCTTGGTGAGGCTTGGCTGCCAATGGCTTGTGATTTGTTGCGCGATAAAAGCACGAAAATTTCACAAACGCTCTCTGTTAACCTACTCTCTCTTTTGGCAGCGCCTTTTATACTCTCTGCTTCTTTCCAAGAGGAATATTGTTCCCAAATGGCCTCTGCTAGGCTGCACGCTTTCGAAAAAGCTTATGAGCAAAATTTATGTTTCATCTGATTTTGTGATTTTGCAAAGCTTGGGGCCATTAATCGGTGTTGGCTTCGTATCGTGAAAAACCCTGCAATATGCCCCTGACTAGGGAATGGTCTCCACTCGACATCGAATTTCTTGTTGCAAGTTAGCTCATTTTGTAGATTTCGACGAGACGAATCGATTGATGTAACTTTAGCTGCGGATACCTATTTTAACAACGTTACAGCCTGAAAGTTTTGACCTACCTTCATAAGCCCTCCCGCATCCCCTCCACCGTGGCCTGGTGGCCTAGTGGCGTAGTAGTCGGCCTCTGGCGAACCTAACGAAGGTTCGAATCCGCTCACGATTTTATTTTTGCTTTTGGTCCAAACGTTCCTTTTGCATTCTCAGGACCAGACAAACTCTTTCTTGATTCTTTAACCTGCGTGAAGGTTTTAGAACGATAAAACTGCATCGGAATTTTATTAATTTTTTGGGGAGCATGACCACCCTTCGAGCAAAAAAATTGTAAAGTTTTCCGATGTCGTTTTCCTTCTAAAACCTTCACGGAGGTTAAAGAACAAAAAGAGTTGTCAGGTCCTGAGAATGCAAAAGGAACGTTTGGACCAAAAAGCAAAAAATAAAAATCGTGAGCGGATTCGAACCCTCGTTAGATTCGCCAGAGGCCGACTACTACGCCACTAGGCCACCAGGCCACGGTGGAGGGGATGCGGGGAGGGCTTATGAAGGTAGGTCAAAAACTTTACAGGGCTGTAACTTTGTTAAAATAAGGTATCCGCAGCTAAAAGTTACATCAATCGATTCGTCTCGTCGAGATCTAAAAATGAGCTAACTTGCAACAAGAAATTCGATGTCGAGTGAAGACCATTCCCAAGCTGCGCTAAAAATTTTGCACTACAATTTCCAGAAATTTCCACAGTGATTTGGGCTCGCTTTTCGGTTGCTATGTTGACCTTTGCAATTTTACTGAATGAGTGCAAGCCTTTCCTTTTTTCGGGCAAAGCTATATGTTTCACAGAAAGTATTGTTTTAAAAATAACTACAGGTTTTTAATGCGACCTGTGATGAAACCGTTTTTGCTGATTGTAAATTCAGGCTCATTTCCGCTAGCCTGATCGCTTCCCAAAGTGTCTCTGCTCGTTATCTAACATTTCAAGCGCTACCCGGTTTTGCAAAATTATGTTTTACTATATTCTGTGATCCACAAAAGATAAAGCTTGCTAGTCGTACCAACAGCCTGGGCATAGACCTTC